CCTTGAAAGGGATTAGGAAATAATCACAAATATTCACAAGTGACTCTTGTCAGGAGAGAAACGGGACTAAACCAACAAGAGACTTGGTTGCTATAAAAAATTTAAATAGGCATTCAACTATTTTCATATATCCAAAAATAACAGGTAGGGGTAATGTAAGGGGTGGAAGGGCAAGCTTTATGCAACCAGTTCTATTGCCTTATTTAGCGTTCAGGGCCATCTCTGCGGCCCAAAGGGCTTCGAAAGGTAAATCACCTAAACTGGGCCAGCCCGTTCCCATTTATTGTTGTCATGGCAACTACTCTTTGGTATTCATGGCTGTAGCGTTCCATTTTTGGCACCGGGAAAGAAATTATCCACGCACACTGCAGCAAACTTCACAATGAAGTGTTACGCACAGCTGAAGGGTGAAGAGGCAGCAATTAACAGAAAATAGTTTGGGTTGTTTATAATTAATATTCCCGGATGTGAATAAGAAGCACCTCCTCCTTTGCCTGCAAAATCGCCTTGCTCGGTGCTGATTTTGGTCACAGAATTTTGCGAGACCCTGTATGCATTTTGCCTCCTTTTCTGCAGCTCATTGAAGTATGCAAATTGTTAAAAATGACCTCTTTACTGGGTTGACAGTCTTGACAGGAGTAAGTGCAGGGCAGATTTCTTGACTACCTTAATTTTGTTAATATGCTTTGAAGGGAAGGTAGGCTTCTCTGGAAATCATGAGGGTTTTGCAGCATCTCGGTGAAGGTCATGACAAGGACAATGAGGACTGTGTGTGTGTCGGGTTCAATACTTATGCCGACTACACACCTGAATCTGCAAAGATTTTGTTTATGCGGCTAATGCAAATACTATCCTGAAGTTTTGAAACAGATACTTAATGAAAATTGCCCTGCTATAACAATTTTAAAGCATGAGATTTTTACGTAATTCCAGGTTTTGTTTTTGTCTTTTTGTATTTGATCAAGAATCTTAAAATTTGCTAGCAATGTGAAGAAGGAGGCAGTCAAGTTGTGTTGATTCATGCAAACATATCCTGTGACAGCACAAAGATAACTGGGGAAGCGGCGATGATGCAAAATATTATAAAATAAGAGTAGCTACTTTTTCTTCAAGTTAGGAGCGACTTGAGAAACTGCAAGTCACTTCTGGTGTGAGAGAATTGGCCGCCTGCAAGGACATTGCCCAGGGGACGCCCAGATGTTTTGATGTTTTACCATCCTTGTGGGAGGCTTCTCTCATGTGGAGCTGACAGAGGGAACTCATCCGCACTCTCCCTGGATTCGAACCTCCAAACTGCTGGTCTTCAGTCCTGCCGATACAACGTTTTAACCCATTGTGCCACTGGGGGCTCCTACGTAATTCCAGTGTGTAACCACAAATAATGAATTTTTCGCACACACAGCAAATTCCAAGAAAATATATATTCAGAATATAAGACCTGCTTATGCTTCCATAATCTCTTCTTAAAATCTTTCATGGTATATACATGTAATACAGAGGAACTGAAGCCAACAGAAGAAGGGAGAGACCAAAAGGGACCAAGGGAAACTTGCCACTTTGGGGTTACAAAAATGGATGCAGGCATTAGAGAAATAAAGGCATCAATTTATTTCATGACACAGTGCCGGTCTAGATGTCAGCATTTGAACGAGTCCAAGCAAACGTACACATTTCCCACTTATAGGAGTTTGGAGGTGTAGCCAGCAGCAGCAGGAAACAACATTTTAAGCAAAAAACTAAACTTTTTTTTTAAAGCAAGCATTCTGTTCATGTTGAACCTTCATGTTGAACCTTCGTCCCTTTTGAGTTTTCCCCTCAGACTACTCCATTTACTTATCTCACCCAGGGTTTTATCAATTTTAGCCTGTGCATTTGGCCCGTCCACTCTGTTTCATTCTTCCATCATTTTAAGTTGTATTTACTTACTTCATACTAGTTATTGTTTGCATTTTATTTGATGTTATTACTTGTTTTATATTTTACTTTGCTGTATTGTAATTCTTTGGCTTGGCCTCATGTTAGCCGCCCCAAGTCCCCTCTGAGGAGATGGTGGGGTATAAACAAAGGTGATGATGATGATGATGATGATGATTATTATTCTCCTTACATTTCATTCCAATCTTAGAATCGGAACATTTAATTTGATTTTTAACTGGAAATTCTGAGAGCCCTTCCACACACAGCTATCTAACCCAGAATACCAAGGCAGAATAACCCACAATATCTGCTTTGAGCTGGAACATCTAACTCCACACTGCCATATATCCCAATACAAAGCGGATAATGTGGGATTTTATTCAGCTGTGTGGGAGAGTTTCTAAATTTTTCCCAGGGGCAAGAATACTTTTTTCTTCAACCTTTCTTTAGCCTTCTGATCATTTCCTGATCTTTACCTTCAAAGGCAAACTGCTCAGAAATGTAGGCTATATTTCAGAGAAAGGAACTAGTAAAACAACCTCCAACTATTCCTTGTCTAAAAAATCCCAATGAAATTCAAGGGTCATTATTAAGTCAGTGACTTGAAACACACACACATAACAGAAACTGGCAATTGGATTCTCTTTGACCAGTGGATTCATCCTAAAAAATCAGTATTGCTCCAGAAGGAAAATCCAAAGTTAAGGATGCTTTTATTAGACTCAACCAAAATCACACAAATTATTAAGCTAGTCTTCAAGTTTTGTCAAGCTTCATCTTCATATTTTAATGTGACAGTGCAGAAAGCTGTATTTGTCTGACTTTCCTTCGAAAGAAAGTAAATATACCAATATACATTGTTAGACTGTAAAATTTAGGAAACACTACACAATAAAGTTTCTTTTCTTGTCTGAGAATTTTACAACATGGCTGATTAATGGAATATTTTCTAGAAAGCTTGGATGCAAAAACGGATATTTATTGGATACGACTCTTTTCTTTATATTGGCCAAGATCCTTACGATAAAGAACAGAGGGAGTTTGGAAATGCCAACATCACTGTTTCATTACAATCAATGCTTTCCTTAATTTGCTGGGTATTATTTCAAATTAAATCTATTTTAATTCCGGTGTGAAATAGAGCAGGACAGTAGGCCGCCTTTGCAGAGTGAGCCAATCAAAGATCTGTGAAAATGGGTTGAGGCAGAAGGATATAAAAGAATAGATTTTGGATGTGTTACATAAAGAAAAGGGGCAGGTGATCAATGTGTGGGAATGAGTTCAGTTAACCAATTAAATCAATGGGTCAGTTAAGACAGAGGAATGGATCACTGGAGAATAGGATAAAATAGAGATATCAGTGAAGTAAAAGGACTGAAATATTTTATAAAGATAAAAAAGTCTGCAAATGGCAAACTTTGGTTAGATGGGAGCAATGTGCATATTTGTTAGAGAAGGCAGAAAACTGCCAGAGTTAGGAAACCAAGTTTTTTATTGAGATTGGTAGAATCAGCCTGCCATATCTACAGATTCAATTATCTATAGCTTGAAAATATTTTTAACATTCAAAAGGCAAACCATAATTCTGCCATTTTCTAGAAGTGACACCATTGTACGGTGCTGCTTTATATTATGGTATTTGAACATCCACTGGTTTAGGTATCCACAGGGGAACCAAATCCAGTGGATAACAAGAAAACCTAGTGTAAAGCGTGTTTACATGCTGGATGTTTAAACTCTTTTGTTTTTCAATAAATCTTGTCTGTATTATTTTACATTTGTGCCTAGGGAGTTAATGTTAAGTTTCTGTAGAAGAAATCAATGACACAAACACAAACTCAAATCTAAACTGAATGCATTCGTTTATGCAAAGTGAAAGTAATGTATAGACAACTTAATATTTACGTTCTTGATTTAGACTAGATTTTGCAGAAGGGTAGAGCACTGAGTGGGGAAAAGTTATTACATCAAATGTATGTTATCAGGCAAATACAAGCAGAGAGAAAGTGTGCTGGTTTTTTATAGTTAAATATTCTTTTCCAAATGAGGCACTCAAGCATCAGGGCTGACAAGCAACTATTCATGTTACATTTCCCTGCAGCCTTAACACCCTAAAGAGAGACAATTTAAAGTACCCCAGTTGAATTTTTAAAGTGTGTGTTCTTCTACATAGAGCATCAATCACCACAACTGTTTTTGCCCACTTATAAAAAAGACATTACATTCACCAGAATTCTATGCCACAACATAAAATGTGTTGTGTTGCAGGAAGAACTCTTAACCACATGTATATTTAAATGATAGTTAAAGGATCCTCACTTCGAAATAGGAGAAAGCCAACCTAGTTGTGTCTAAAGACCTGCTCCTCAATCTGCTGAGGGATGACTTTGAACTTCTGCTTCAAAGTCTGATGACACTGTATATTTGTATAGTTGTGTAAAGTATATTGTGTAAAGTATACAATAAGAACTCTGTAACTTTGCAATCCATAAAAACAGTATTTTATCTGAAAAATTTCCTCTCTGGGAATTTGCTACGTCCTTCAAGCAATTCTATTGCATACTTCCCCTGGAAACTATCACAGGGTTGTGTTGAAGGACCTAGCATATTCCTAGATATTTTTTTCCGTGTCAGGAGTGACTTGAGAAACTGCAAGTCGCTTCCTGTGTGAGAGAACTAGCTGTCTGCAAGGACGTTGCCCAGGGGACGCCTGGATGTTTTACCATCCTGTGGGAGGCTTCGCTCATGTCCCTGCATGAGAAGCTGGAGCTGACAGACAGGAGCTCACCCCGCTCTCTGGATTTGAACCATCGACCTTTTGGTCAGCAGACCTTCCAGCACAAGGATTTAACCCACTGCACAACCGGGAGCTTCGGTGATACCTCCCTAGATTCTCAAATGCATGTCTATGGTATGTTGGGATTGGAAGTGAGGTAATTCAGTGACATTTGGTCAAATCAGAGGTTTCATGTAACTGCAGTCTAGCCAGAAACATATAACCTGTGGATACAGGGGTCTCATGTAATTATTTTTTCGTGTAAACTTAATTTCCTAAGACAACAAAATGAGCCCATACACACATGTAACGGCAGTAGACTTTTATTAACATATTTTACAATATTGATTATGGTATTTCTAGTTTTGCCTTTGATGTGTCAGAGACGGATTCTGTTTCTACAGTAATGTACTGTACTTAAATGATCATTTACACAAGAAACCACACCAGTATGTTGGAGGAAGAGGAGCAGCAGCAGGAGCAGGAGGAGCAGCACTCACGCACACACGCCCAGTTCTAGTTTGGACCTGTTATTTCTCAAAGTTAGCTTAGTAAAGCAAAAAGGTACGGGGTTAACCAAACTTCTAGTCCAGCAGCATGCAGGTGCTTTTCAAGTAGGATTTCCAAACTAGTGCCTTCGTTTTCTTTTTTAAAAACTGACCAGTGACTAATTCACCAGTATCAAAATGAACACCATGTAATACAAAGATTTGAAAGTTAAGGCTAATAATTTTACTCCACACCCATATACACAATTTTTAAGAAATCCACTTTAAATAATGCATTTGATTCTATTTGTAGAGACATTATCTCTTGTGAAGCTTCCAACTACACAGAGCACTCAAACGCAAGCACCCTGTGATAGTATTATTATACTAGGACAGGCCAAGAATATTTCTGCTTGTCCACTGTGCTTAAAATGGTCTGATATTCAGAAATTGGTGATGCAAAACTCCTAATGTTGCATATATGATACATATTAAAAGAAAACGATGTTGTTGTTTTTTTGGAAGAGCGGAAGAAATTTTCAGTTGAAGAAAACGTAGGTTTCAAGGACTATTCCAAATGTGTGTGTATGATGTGTGTAATCACACACTATATTATACAAAATAGCAAATCATTACCAAATGTTATATTTTTGTAAAAACCTAGTCGGCTAAAGAGGCTTTCTACATGAACTGTCCAATATTCTTAATATTATCCCTTCTGCAGTTTGCAACAGTTGATTTCCTATCAGACCTTTGAGCAGAGAACAACTTTCAATCTATTTTATGGCTATGGCTCTTTTAAAATTAGTTCAGAGATAAAAACGTTACAGAAAAAACTACAAGTATGTAAGTATCAGAAGTATCTGAAAGTACTCTTTTAAACAGTAAACATGTGTCTGCTATGGAAAAGGAAAAAGTTTGGCAGCAATGTGCTAGGACTAAGAAATAACACTCCCTGCCTGGTTATATACATGGCGCTTTCCTATAAAGGTGCCCACTGTGGTGCTATTTCAAAGCTTTCTTATCCCAAGTGCCTCAAACGTCCTATAGTACTCAACAGTGGAAGCTGGCTTCTGCAGATATATTTCTAGATTTGGGGAAAACCAATGTATACAACCAGATACAGAGCATTTTTGGGGGAGGAGAGTGGCGAGCTTGACGCATCCTGTCCCCTACACCCTAATTTCTGTCAAAAAAGAAGAATTTTTGCTGTTAACAACAAACTCTTGGGCTGCTGCATGAAGATTGGAGGAAAGTTGGTAAAGTACATGTTTACGTAAGGTTGAAATGGGGGAAGAGGGTCATTTGTCTTCTGGCACCTTAAAATGTAACTCTCCCTATTCCCCTATTAAGAAATTCAAGCAGAAAGGGCAGTGATTACTCAATAAATACAATAGAAAAAACCTGCTTGAACTCAGAAAATATGTCTTATTTGCAAGTATCAAGCATGTCTTTTGTCCTCTCTACCCACCACACTGAAACATACAGCTAGGTGGAAATGAGCCATGACATGCTTGGTTGGTTTACAATTGACCATTTTGGGCATTTTACAAATGTTGTATGTACACAAACAGTAAAACTGATTTGTTTGCTAGTAAATAATAAAGTTAACAGAAATATCAGAATACTGTATATGTACTGTATTACATTAAGAGCAGCAAGCTATCTATTTTACAGCTATTTCATGAATCTCTGGAGTATATCTATGAAATTCCTGAGAATGAATAAGGTTTTTCAGCAATGCCTGAAACTATTTCAATAGCTCTCTGGCAATGAGCGAAATACACTCTAAAACCCTTTAGACCATTTCTGTACAATCTCACAGATCAAAAGTGTCACAACTCTTTTGTACTTACAGATACAGATCAAGCAAAATCTTAAAGCAATACAACGAAAGGCAAAGAAAAAAACCCCCAATATATTAAGCAAGTGTACTACTACACATATACAGTGCTTCAGCATAAACAACCCCAATCATGGAAAAATAAAACTCAATATCCATTTAGCAACATTTTTAAAGTACAAATTGTGCTTGTTATTAGTGGATTAGAAAGCAACAGCGATCAAATAAATTTGGATAATTCACTCAAATTAGGAGGACAAATTGCCTTGCATTGTTACGTATGAATCCTCTTATTACCAACACCTAAAGGAGGACTTCATAAAATGGCCAGGCTTCAAGCTTTCCCCAGGGAGGAAACTTAGTTTCCATTTACTTGTAGCCAAAGCCCATCAGGAAGCATTAATAACAAAGGCGATGTGATGGCAAGATGCTGGTTGGTGATTTACAAACCATTATAATGCGGCCCCCATCTTTTATTGATGTGATCAAAGGTGTGTGACACCCACTGCTGTTCAAGCACATTGTATCTTTCTTTACATATATACAGAGGTTTGCCACGCCTACAAGAAAAAACAAGACAAAAACTAATTACAACAATGAAAGCTGGACAAAAATTATTTCCTGTCTTAAGCATAAGCAGAATAGGAAGACATTCAGAGCTGCCCCATCAAATGATGAGCTGTGTCTTTAGCATCCAATGACATTTGTTGCCCAAAGGGCTGGCCAGGTTGCTTGATTTTATGAACTTACCTTATGCAGTGCTAAAATGGAAGAAGACTCTCCCTGACACTGGGGAGAGGAGAAATCCTTCTCCACTTTGACCTCTGGACTGTATTGGATAGCACTGTTCCAGATGCTGAGAAGAGTCTTCCTTCATTTTACTGCCCACTGAGCACCACTAAGAGAAATTAGGGGGGAGGGCCAAAACAAGTACTTCCCCCTTTCCCTGGGATGGCATTTCATCAACTATGCCCATTCTGGAATGGGAAGTAGCATGGTTGATTAAATGGGCCCAAAGTTGCTGAATAATCTGCAGCTTTGGGGAAGTTCCAGATAATTCTGTGGCTTCAGGAAACATGAGTCTGTTGTGGTTCAGCCAGCTGATGAATATGAGGGGATTGTTATTCCAGAGCCTGGGAGAGTGGAAGGGTTTTTCAATGAGGAAAATGGAGGGAGTTTAGATCCTGTCTGTGAGAATGGGCTTGAAAGTGAAACTGTCTCAGAGTCCAGCAGACAGGGAGATGCTGCGGCTGGCGAAGACTTTTCATCTAGTCGTCTCATAGCAACCCCAGATAAGGAGTTGGATGGGTGAGAAAAAATTGCCTGAAAACACACCTGCAGTCAGCAGAAATCTCAGGCTTCATCTTAGGGAAGAAGCAAGCAAATTAAAGAGGTCACAGAGATTCTGTGAGAAACAACAGTGTGAGAAATATCACAGACAAGAGAGCCCAGGTCACAGACATGACTTAATGGCTTGTGGTCATTAAATCAGGAAATTGTTTCCTTTAGAATTCAGATCAGGGAACGCTGCATTAGAGTGAGGATCTCAAGTTCATTATTTAGTCAAAGATCTTGGGAGTTTGAGTTCAAGTTTTTAAGAAGTTTATATAGTCTTGGTTTTGGATTCATGCTCATGTTTTCATTCTGGTTTTCCTATACCTTGTTTTATGGAACAAATTTGAACTGTTTGGATTATTACTTTTGGAATGTTTTTCCCATTAACAGTTTTGGTCTGGCTTATTACTTGTTGACTGCTTTCCCCCATTACCTATTGGATTTTGCCTTTCTTTTTTCCTATGGTGATCCCCCCCCCCCTTTTTTTTTTTTTTAATATGTGCTTTCCTCAATAAACTGTTTTACTACTGTTTTTGGATTCCTGGTTGGTGTTGAGTGCTAGGTGAATTCTGGCAGGGGTGAAACAGAGTCAAGGCCATGTTACTGCTGGATCAACTCTGTGCATCATATAACAATGTATAAGTTGATCCAGGTCCATACTCAATTAAACATCGCCTCAAATTGTGTCCTTAGTACTGTAAAAGTGGAAGCTCACTTTAAGAGTTTGATTTCTATAGGCACAATTGCAAATTCACTTGTCTTTACAAAGGTTACCTGAGATCTCTGTCTTCTTCACCGTGTGCATCCAGGTACACAGAACCCCAAAGGCAAAAACGATGACCACGAATGATGATGATTACAGATGCATTGATCAGAAGGAATATGCCTGTTCCAGCGCCACAATTTTGTGAATGCTGAGAAAGATGAGAGAAGTGGATAAAATTTCTCCTATTTCTAATCACACAATAGTATAATTAGACCTTACTTTTTCTGTATTTTAGACTGTAGAAATAATATGTTAAAACTGGAACAAACAACTGTGACCCTCCTGAGGTTGTTGGACTGAAGTTTCCATCATCACTGGCTATGCTAATAAGGCTGCTAGTATTAGCAATCCACCATTATCTATAGAGATACAATTGCATTCATTTCTCTCTTAAATAATGAAGATATTTAAGAAGCAAAATTATAAGCAACTCTCCATACAAACCATACATTATCACACCATTCTCCATTTGAGAAATATGTCTGGCTATTATAGCAGAAAAGTAGATCCAGGCAAATCCTATCAACACTTTCAATATCACAGATAGAGCTATCAACTAAGTACATACTCTCAAAATATTGCCATTTTGAAGTCTGTAAAATAATATAATAGGTAAGAGAACTAAGTGTATAAATGTACATTTAAAACAAGAAGTGAACCTGTAATTTTATAATAATCCATTTAGTCCAGATTACCCATCACAATAACCAAATTTAAAAAGAAATCCCTCATTTCCAAAAGAATCTAAATTATTACACAAAGTGTTCCTTTGCTCCAAAGCCTTTCCTTGACAATGATGTGCATTAACATCTTCCTTCAAGGACGGAGCAGCTGTGCAGACCATTCATTTCTATTATCATCTTAGAAGCATTCCTCCGTTTCACTGAAGTGAATGAGGAAGACTTATAAGCAGGGGTTCGGGGGATAGATACTGTGTCCGCACTAGGCCACCCGCTTCACAGAGGGTTGCTGGGATTGTTGATAGTGGCAATCAATGAGAAGCTTTCTAAACAGTATTTATGCTAAGTGCTAACTGTTATATCTCTTACCAAGACACATTCACAGTAGCTTTGTTGCTTGCAGCAAAGTCCTTTCAAACACACAAAAGTGCCACAAACCAGACAAATGGCAGGATCTTTAGGAACCTTGGAACAGACTGAGCAACTTTTTCTGTGATAGTATTGGAAAATGGTATTGTAATTTTCAGGCAATTGTAGGAGGCGTGGTAAGTCCCATTTAGGCTCCTGTATAAGTAAAACCTGTAAAAGTGGAGAAAGAAGGAAACCCATGTAAAACACTCACATATTCTGTCTGCTTTCTCCTTCCCTCCCTTCCCATCCCAAAGTTGTCTATCTTTGGTCAGACAATGACTGGAATACAGTGTCCAGTTCTGGAGCATAGTTCAAGAAGGATATAGACAAACTGGGCTGTGTTCAGAGGAAGGTAACCAAGATGATCTTAGGGAGTTGAGTATGTTTAGCTTGGAGAAGAAATGTCATAGGACACACGTTCTTAAAAATCAGAAGGGATGTCATGTGGAAAGATGGAGTGAGCTTGTTTCCTGTTGATCCAGAGACTGTCCCTCTTCCTATCAGGAAGAACTCCATGTAGTTTATTTTGAAAGCTATGACTATATCAATTACTTTTATTAGAGATAAAAAGTGGATTAATATTTTTGTTCAGATAAATAAATAAAACCATCAAAGATGGGAATATAGTCTGGTCTACACCAAAATGAGTCATTCTAAATTAGTTGTTCTCAACCTGTGAGTCCCCAGGTGTTGGCCTCCAACTCCCAGAAATCCCAGCCAGTTTACCAGCTGTGAGGATTTCTGGGAGTTGAAGGCCAAAACATCTGGGGACCCACAGGTTGAGAATCACTGTTCTAAATCATTACTCTCCAACCTCATCCACACCAGCAAGCTCTGGATCCTCCTGCTCCCCTCGAAGTTATGCTTCTTGAATATTCAGTAGCCTTGTCATAGTGGAAAGTAGCAAAGTTACCACTTTTGAGTATATTCAAGGCTGTACTCTCCAATGAAGCAAGGTAGCCTTGCTGCGATCGTGGGGAAAAGTAAAGTGAACTTAAGACCACACCAGATAATCTTTGGCAAATCATGAGGATCCTACGGTACCTATTGCAGCTTGCATATTAAACAGACAAAGACAGATCTTCCTGAGGGATCAAAGTTGGAAAATCACTGTAGAGCAATTTCTATGTTCTCTACACAATACCCAGGGCGATGAAATCGCACATTCAGTTTCCTGCTGGTATGTTCATAATATAAAGACTCAATCTTTACTTCCTGAAAATGTTTATTACTAGTTATTCCCTCTTGCTTTGAGAAGTTATAATAGTTTTAAAATATGAGCCATAGTTAAACAGTAATTCCACTTCAAATATTTTAAAGAAATATATTTATTTCTGATGAAAGAAAAAAATTAATAACAGTTTGCATGAAAATGATTTTTTAAAGTTAAAGGCATTTTTAAAAACTACATTTCAACAGGATTAAAACTGATGGGGCAAACAATTGCCAATAGTGTTGCATAAGCCATTGTCTCAAATAATGTATTAAGATGTGGCAGTATCGTTTACCTACCTTTACTTGTGTTGGATGCGTATTCGAGAATGAAACCAATTCTGAGCACCATTGAGATATTATGTCAAATGCTGGTACAGGCCAATCAAGACAAGAGGCACTAGAGAACTGCGATGATTGAAAAGATGGTGATAACAAACCCAGGCAGCTGGCAAGAACAGTAAACTCCTCGCCTTCCTATTAATCATAAAAGAAAGAGCCATATTCAAAACAGAAGCCCAACAGGGAAGCAGTAAGAGGCAATGATCTATTATGATGTATTTAATGAAGAATAATTCTAGTTTCAACATACAAGATTCCATTCATTATGCAAAAGTTCCATAATTTATTACTGGGATATAGCACTATGGTTCACTCTTGCATTTCAGTGACATTCTTTAAGACATCTACAAGGTTGTTTGTTGCATATATGAATTTTGCAGATACAAAGTGAAGGCTTGTTGGCTTAGCATGATATACACTGTATCACCATGACAGATCCAACAAATGATGTTTTCATAGTACCTGACAGCTGGGGAGCTCCCCTCCAAAGAGATGGTGCTGAAGAAGGCTTGTGATCCTGAGAAAAGGCAGGCAGAATTGCTGCAAGTAAATCTCTATGGAATGTGGGCACCAAGAACTAGTGCTGTCCTAAATTAGAGAGAAAAAAACCTCCAGTAAATTTCAATTAATGGAACTTTACTTTTACTGGAAAAAGAGAAAAGCAAACTTTACAATAGGATATGTGCATGTATTTGCCTTTAAATCGCTTGCCAACTCCAATAATTTTATAGGGGTTTCTTAGACAAAGAGGTGGTTTTGCGACTTACTTCCTCTGAAATACAGACTATAGTACCTGGAGATCCAGTACTTGGATCTCGCATCCAAGTACTGACCCGGCTTAACTTCTAAGATCAGATGGGATCTAATGCCTCTAGCATACTTTGGCCCTATCCACAAGGAACTATAGTTAGCATTAAATAATGTGCAGATGACATATTCAAATGCACAAACCATACCATGGCTAGATCTTCAGTTTCCTCCTGTTCATAGATCTTCCCTTTGGAGAGTTCACTGATTACATGGCTAAACAACACTTCCCAAGTCTTTTTTGCATTGGATAGACTCTGTGAACAAAAAGAAATGTATCATCTAATCAAAAGAGTATGAAAATGTTGTATCTTTAATCTGGCCTTTTCTTTTTGGGCCAAAAGCCCCAGATTGAGTTAATCTGCCAAAAAAGGTTCTCTAATTCTTTCATTGAAGGACACTAATCCTTTGCACATATTGCAACATACAACAATTTTCCACAGTAAAATGCTTGATAGAAAATGAAAAGTGTTATTCAAACTTAGTAGTGAGCATACAAAACCTGATATGTATTTTCACTTTAATGGAATCCGTCTGCCCCCCCCCCCCAAACTAAACAAGGATCTATCCTGAATATATTTATTACCCTTCCAAGCTCCTTGGGGCATCTACAAAGAATTGCACTAAAGACCAGAAAAGCTTCTAAAAAGTGGTGGTATGTCATGACATGTCATAATTGCATGGGTACAAGAAAAATATGGCTGTTCTTGAATACTGATGAGGGTTGTATCTTTTTCTCCTCCTGTATGTATTCCCTGTGTAGCTAATATGGATGCTGCATGAAAGAATGACTGCTGCCACCACTGTACACAAGGCAGAAATATTTTTACTCCATACAAAACAAGTGCCCAGGACCCAACAACATGTCATAATGTCCTGCTAATTCCCAGGCTTTTAAAGAAACATTTTCAACTAGCTTCTTCAAGATTTAGGAACAGTTGCTGGTGGGACTGTGGAAAACAAGGCGATCACAAACTGTCCTTTAGGTGCATAGCAAAATGTTTCTTAAGGTGGAGAATTTGTTACACCCACATGGATTTTTAAACTAGCTTTCGCTACTTAACATTCATTCCAAAAGGGAGATAACAGACTTCTTTCTAAACCCATGTATCCCTCAACTTGCTTCAGACACAAAAATAAATAAATAAATAAACCTATGTGAAAGTGGCATGGAATAGACTGATCTATTCACTGTACTGTAGGCAAACACTGTAAGTTTTTTGTTTGAAAGCAAGGCAATATGCCATTGACCTATTTCAGAATAAGCATCAGGAATAGGACTGGAAGTACTATCAGTCCCTTCATTGGGAAAGCAATACAATGTTATTACCATTCAGCAGTTTCTAGGAGTTGGAAATGTCAGCATTAAATAACTAGCAATGTTCGCTTTTCCTCGTGTACAGCAGTTTGCAAACCAAGGTTTCAAATTAAGGCTCAAAGTTGAGCTTATGGTTCCAATCTTGTTTAGGAACTGCAAATCAATGACATAAAGTTGTTTACCATGGATATATTCCAACTTAATAAAACATTCCCTGCTTGTTCGATGGGAAAGCAATCACTAGTATGTTTGTTTGTGAATGATAAAAGCCAAGATTCTCCACCATTTTGCATTGCTTTTTATGTGAATGTGGCCTGTGCTTCACTGCAAAATCTAAAGGAAATACTATTTACCAAGATCCAAACAACAGTGTAGTTCACTCGGGGCACTCAAAATTTCAGATCTATATCTGCATTACCAGTCCTCTACCATAATTCATGCCCCTAAGATGTTTCCCATGTCTAGGTTGCCATTATCATGGACACAGGAAGAACTGTGTCTTACAATCTGCAAATGCTATTATAAGACTTTCACAAGACATCTGTATATGAATATACAAAGATTAAATCACAAAAATATTGTATTTTCATGTAGTAATTGCATTTTGTGAAATCCTGGGGTTTACAGTTTAGTGAGGCCAGACAGCTCTCTGGCTGAGGATTCTTAAATGTTCCTCCTTAATCTGCAAATCCCAGAATGTCACTGCAGGAGATGTTGGGACCATGTGTGGTATGAAAGGGCTCTAAGATCTGGAACTTGAGAAGATGGAGAGGTGATGGAGTGTTGCAATACAACAGGATCAGGCCAAAAATAATGATATAAAGAATTATTTTGAAGCCTACTTCTAACAATATTGTTTCTTCAGAAATATGTTACTCCAACAAGATTTGCTATCCATTACGTGTGATTACTGTAACACAGTCCAGAAACAAGTGATAAGGCAAGCATGCAAGTTATTTCCAACTTATGGTGGCCCTAAGCTGAATCTATTAAAAGGTTTTCTTGGCAAGTTTTGCTCAGAGAAGGTCTGCCTTTGCCTTCCTTTGAAGCTGAAAAAGTGCAGCTTGCCCACAGTCACCCGTTCTATTCTATGGTTGAGCGAGGATTAAAACCCTGGTCTCCAGAGTCATCATCTGAGTTCAGATCAATACACCACACTGTGTACACACACACACAAATAAATATGAAATGCAACAAAAGAGATATGGCTCCTCTCTCCAACAAGTCTCTCATTAACTGAGATGTGAAGGGAGTACCTAGAGTAGTTTCACTCCAAATGCAAGACTGGCACTCACATGAAGAATGACTGACTTGAAAAATAAAAAGCAGTCAATAGAGTTCAGCTTTGGCCAGTCTATTACCCAGGCCTTACAGCCATAGCTCACTCAGCCTTTCAGTATTCCCACTTTCCGATGAAAAGGGGAAGGAAGAGCTTAAATGAGTGGCCTAATAAAAATGCAGCTGACTACCCCCAAGGACAGAGGAGGTCTGGGATAGTGGACAGTTACTCTCTCTGAGAAAGACCGATCTTGTATTTCAACTGAAATGTAAAAACTGAACATGTGTGAGAGAAAGAAAGACAGCTTTAGGCTGCAATGCAGCATAATGCTGTGCACATCTATATTCCAGAGAAATTGAGAGGATTAACTGTGCACAACTGGAGACAGAACTGCATCCTTGGCATTTTATTAGCAGTTTTTGACAAATCAACAAACCTTTTTCAAAGCTCCTGAGTTCATCCAAGTTATTCTCTCTTCAGAGCTGCATTTAACAGAAAGTGCAACGAGCGCTTGTATATACAACAGTGTGAACAGCACCTTTGTGATACAGATAAAGTGTTCTACAAAAATACAAAAACAGATAAGGTGATTCAGACATTGTAGATTAAATCTTACATTTTTATAAACCAATTACAAATTTACAAACCATTTTTCTAAAAAAAAAAAATTCCAAATGGCAAATGTACAAAAATATGTTTTATAAGCAATTAAAACATTAATAAGGACAATGATCACAACATAATGATGAGGTAAAGGAGAGACTCGAAGTCAACTCCCTCTTAAAACATCCACTACTTTGTACAGGTTGACCCTCCCTTATCTGGAAATCCAAAATCTGAAATACTTCAAAAACATAAGCTTTTTGCCACTCGCCACCCACTTCCACCTTCAAGATAAGGGGCTAGTTACATGTCCAATGCCACTAGGTTTTGAATTAAGGAGCCCTTGCTCCATCACTGTTGGAAATTTGACAGGGATAAGAAAGAGGGGGAAGTGGGGAGGACTCTGGTTCCTATGCCTCCAATCACACAAGACCCTTGTAAAAAGCAGGTGTCTCCCTTAGCTGCCAACACTCCACAAGATGGGGAGAGAATTTTCTCTTCCCTTCAGCTACAAGGGCTATTATGGGCCAAGTGAAGTGTTAGTTGGTGGTGTGGCCCGATCCCCTTGGACTTTTTTCTGTTTCTCCTTCTCTGAAGGCTACTTTGTTAAAAGTCTAAAAAGTGTGCTGAGAAGCACCTAGGATGTCAGTCTTTTACAAGGACATTATGCGAGCAAAGCCATGGAAACCAGAGTCTCCTTTCTTCATCTTGTCAAATTTCTGGCAATGTTAGAGCAAGTGCTCCTAGTAAAAATACTAAGTGAGTACTGGACATCAAACTAATCCCCTTTTTGCTCTATCCCACATTCACAAATTACCTGAAGCAAATTCAGATATTCAAAAAATGAAAAAAAAAATCAGAACTCCGAAACATTTTTGGTAGCAGTTAGGGCAGGCTCAACTTGCATAATAAAATTATCAGGTTTAACTGAGGCACTAGCTGGGATGTCTAAATAAACCTGAAGCCCACAGTAAGAATAGTGAGGGCTCATTTGCTCTGAATATCAAGATGCTTTATTTTCCAAATGAAAATTACACTCAACAGACTGTAGACTTTGTAATTATTTATTGCAGTAATGAAGGTCTACAGAAAAACTTGCACAGAAATGTATTGAATAATCCATAACTCTATTAAGAAACAAATATTGTATTGCCAAAGGCTTTTACGGCTGGAATCATTGGGGTGGTGTGTGGTTTCCAGATTGTATGGCCATGTTTTAGCAGCATTTCTTCATGATGTTTCACTTGCATTTGTGGCTGGCATCTTCAGAGGGTGCCAGCCACAGATGCAGACGAAACATCAGGAGAAAATGATGTTAGAACATGGCAGTACAGCCCGGAAACCACACAGCACCCCAGAAACAAATATTATCAATACTCAAAAATATTGCTGCCAGTAAATGTAGAATATAACACCTCAGCAAAACTTGCCTGGCTGACATTAAATACCAAATTAAATGTCATGTGCTCAAAGGCTGCAACTTCAGGGAAAGACCTTGCCTACTAAATCGAAGTAGGAAAGAGAACAGCTATTTAATTTAATCTGGAAATGGCTACTTTGCCAATATTTCAGTGAATCTTTGTTTACTAAAGAAAAGAGAGCCTATAGAACACTAGAACAGCACAGGGAACTAATATTTAAAGATATGCATTTAAAATCTGAGAATCCAGTTATGAACCAAATGGTTTTTGTTGTACGTATACCCAGATCCAAGTTGAAACAGCCACTTTTTAACTTTTGATATTAGTTTTGCTATCTGGAGACTATCTATTATGAAAACTGACAATTTGATATTTGTTTTAAAACTAGTATTTTTTGTGTTTTAATATTAACAATTAATATATGAATTTGGAGATGTGAATGATCACACACAGAGCTCTGCCACCCTTCCTTTCTCCAAACTAGTAAATCCTGCTTTCCTACTTGGTCTCTCAGTTTGTTTTCTAGGTCCTCTCTTATTATGAGAGCCCTTCTATGAATTTGTATAAAGTAGTTAACATATTTCTTGAAGCTGGGTGAACATATGAGGGTTTGTGTTGTCGAAGGCTTTCATGGCCAGAATCACTAGGTTGCTATGAGTTTTCCGGGCTATATGGCCATGCTCCAGAAGCATTCACTCCTGATTTTTTGCCCATATCTATGGCAGGCATCCTCAGAGGTTGTGAGGTCTGTTGGAAACTAGGCAAGTGGGGTTTATATATCTGTGGAACATCCAGGGTGGGAGAAAGAATTTTTGTCTACTTGAGGCAGGTGTGAATGTTGGAATTGGCCACCTTGATTAGCATTGAATAACACTTGCCTAGTTTCCAACAGACCTCACAACCTCTGAGGATGCCTGCCATAGATGTGGGCAAAATGTCAGGAGAGAATGCTTCCGGACCATGGCCATACAGCCCGGAAACCTCACAGCAACCCATATGAGGGCTTGTTGATGATGAATAAAAGAATAAAAAACTCCTGGTGTTTGTTTCAAAAAATTAGATTATGATCATTTTTTTACAGAGAGTGTTGAATAAATCTATGTGGAGGAAAGGATACTAGTTTTTCACCTCTCTGTTTTCAGTTTTATTGCTCTGACTGGAAAAACATTGATTGAGAGTCTCCCTACCCATTGGTGCATTGGACCAGGCCCCCCTAGTAATGAGGGGAACACCCATAAGTAGGGGAAATTATCGTGTGTACACTTATCATTTTCCATATGAGGAAAATGAGAGAACTAGAGATGTGGGGCTGATGCTCTCTACTGTTCATGCATTAATTTCAATTTGCTTTGTAAAAAAAGGTAAATAGGAGGCATGTGTATAATGGCACGTGAACCATTCTTTCCATAATGGACCAGGGGTAGTTAATGTGAGATCCTTGCCATTCCCCAGTTAAACATAAGCATGCTTTAGTCTCTTTTTCTAGGACAAATCCTATCTCAGTTTTGTTTTTCTTCTGAAGATCAATGCAAACTGAGTATCAAAATAATGATAAACTAGCATTATTATGCAACTGCAATGCACGGTGAGGTGAAAATCTCTTTTGCATTTTAAGCACGTATCCATTCTGCCCATACTTTAGCAATATCAACAACCTTCAACTCAGTGATAATCCTTTAGGTTGTACAGCAGTTCTATGCAACACAGAGATTGCTTGTGACCTTTCGCCCTTTAAGTCCTCCATTTATATACGGATGAAGCAACCGACTCCAACTGGACTGACCTCTAGAATGATGTTTCTTTACAATCAGAGTTAATTTGTGTTCTCTCTTTTGAGGTGGCTTCCAATCAATTTTTCCTCTCAGAAAGAAGAGACTAACAGTATAATGGCATTTACTTTGCCTTAATCGATGTTGGATTGAAATAGATAACCAAGGCCATTCAAGAGTTAATAAGATAGTTAATACAATTCCCAGGGCCTTGCTTGAAGGGCAAAAGACCAGCACACTCCTTATTAAGTGCTAATTTCCTCTAATACTACTATCTAGATATCCTTTAAAACAAAAAGACTTTGGGTCAAAATGTCAATCTGCCAGATTAAATTCCAGGAGAACAAAATTACCAGAGGTATGAATCTGATGTCTCCTAGCCCTAGAAACACACCTGCATTTGATCAGGAATCTTAATATTTGCTAATAATGTGAAGAAGGAGGCAATCAAGTTGTGTTGATGCATGCAAACATATCATGTGACAGCACAAAGATAACTGGGGGAAACAGCAATGATGCAAAATATTTATTATAAAATAAGAGTACCTAAACTTTCTTTTTGTATAAGGAGCGACTTGAGAAACTGCAAGTTGCTTCTGGTGTGAGAAAATTGGCCGTCTGCAAGGACATTGCCCAAGGGATGCCCAGACAGTTTACCATCCTGTGAGAATGTTACCGCATGAGAAGCTGGAGTTGACAGATGGGAGCTCACTCTGTTCCCCGGATTTGAACCACCGACCTTTCGGTCAGCAGTAAGTAGTCCTGCTGGCACAAGGGTTTAACCCATTGCACCACCAGGGGCTCCTAGTAGGTAAACAACTAAACCCTACATATGTAGGGAGTAGCTAAACAACCAAACCCTAAATCAATTTGGCAGTAATTGATATGAGACAGGTGTTTTATTGAATTAGTTTTAATTCACTTACCCACCATGAAATAATGATATTTAATTCAATTGCCTGAAAGAAACTCCTAGGACTATCCATCGATATTTTCTTAACAATTTTTGTCACTGGACATAAAAACATCTTAGGGAGAAAAAAAGACTAGAAAGTAAAAGATAACTGGAAACTAAGAACTGGGATTGGAATAGTAGACCCTTCAAATGGAGAACATCTGAATCTCCAAGAAGCTATCACATTAAATTTTTAGATATATTTGAACTTTTCAAATGCTCAAATCAACTGGGTTTTAAAGGAATTTTTTCACCTTAAAAATGTTCATCTTCATGCATCCACAGAACAAAAGGCTCCTGGCATAACTGATTATGCCTTTTAATGGAGCACCCGAACCAAAAATCACAGCTGAGGTCATTAGCTGGTCAATGCATGTTATAAATGTGTGTGTTGTTTTTTTTTTGTTTTTTTTTTAAAGGGAATGGCAAGCTACAATGCTTATAATAACCCTTTATGAAAATGTGCGAAAATGTGGCTTGGCAGTGAAAAAGAAGTCATACATCTGAAATGTGCATATGAATCATAATATTAAAAGCTTTAAAGCTGGCAAAATAAGTAGCACTAAATCATTTCTGCTTCAAGAATGTCTTGGGATTCCAGGAACGTGTTGAAATTCATACATTATAACCATTACCAATACTGTGTTATAGCAATTATCTTTGTCGTGTGTGACACAATTGCCACAATTTGTGCAGTTAAATTAAAATAAATTATTCGCTTTCACCCTTAGGCATTCATAGTTCCATGTGAAATATTAAGCAGTCCCGCTACGGTAAACAAATGAAGGTCAAACAGAAGGACCTCCCTCCTTCCCCATAACTCAGGGAATGTAATAACCATTGTGGTTATACTGTATTGTTATCTGATAAAAGTAAGAAGCCACAGATAAGCCTGTCAAACCACCACCACCACCACAAAAAAATCAGTTTAATGCCAACTTCTAGAGATAAGGCAAAATCGTTGTTCAAGCACATTTGCTGTCATTTTTAAAAGCTGGAACAGGCAAGGGATCACTGTCACTTGTTTATTATATATCCATTTTGTGAGGCATACCTTTGCGCAATGGCTGTGGCATGGTTAAAATCTGGATAAGCAGAAGGGATGAGACATCTCGATAAAGCACTGGGACCTCTGGCTGCTCTTCATGACTCATCCTGAAAAAAATATGAAAATCCTTGTAATTTTAAAAGTATTTTGTAGTCCTAAGTCATTGGTTTTCAACCTGTGGGTCCCCAGGTGTTTTAGCCTACAACTCCCAGAAATCCCAGCCAGTCTACTAGCTCTTAGGATTTCTGGGAGTTGAAGGCCAAAATATCTGGAGACCCACTGGTTGAGGACAACTTCCTTAAAATGATTCTGAAACACTGACATGTGCTGAAGGGGGAACCTGTGACTGAAACCCCAAAATCAGATATTTAGACTACTCTCACCCTTCACAAAGACAGAATAGTTTCCTCTCCTCTCTCTATAACCAAGTTCGGTGTTTGATCTGTTTTAGTTATGCCAGCCCCCTCTCATCCCCACAATATCTCTGTTGTCTGTGGACTCCTTCGCATGTTCATCTCTATGACAAACAGTTTTCAAACTGTGTCCCTTAGAACCCTAGGATTCCATAAAGGCATCACAGGGGTTCTGCGAAAAATTGTAAAAATCAAATTTAAGATGAATTTTAAAATAAAACTACACAAGGATACCATTTAAAGTCTCCTTAACCATTATTTTGTGCTACAACTATTGCTATCGGGTATGTAGTTAGTGGCTACGCATTTCAACATTTTATTGCCATTTGAACAAGACTAATTCTCACATAGTCAATTGGCTAATTGTGGGGTTTCTGTTAGATTGATGGGGCCAGATCAGGAATTTGTGCCATTTTCAACATTAAAGTTTATATGCCAAGATATCTTTTTATAAAGAAATTGGCCACTTCAACTAAATGCTGCCACTATAATACAGATAACTGGTTGTTGCAATTATCAATTTGAAAAAAAGCAATGCTTACAGGGGGAATCTACGTATGACACAGGAACTGCTTTGAAAAAATGTTGTTTTTTTTAAGTAACTTTTTATCCCACTTGTCTTCCAAGCTGGCTCTCATAAAAAAGAGACCTCATTACAGGGGTTCCAAATTTAAAACAAAGCAAAACAAGACATACTAGAGGAAGTGAAAAAAAGGAAGGGGGGGGGGGGAGAATGAAGATCATTTTCTCCAAGTATGTCAATTTTTTTGTCAATTCTTGCTCTTCTCCGGAGATTTAAAAGTTTTTAACAAATAACACAACGTTCGGATCAAAAGACAGACAGATGTCCAACCATAAAGTGCAAGCACAGTCTAATTCATTGCCAATAAAACACCGCTCTCAAAGAAGTATGCCAATGTTTGGTTTTCAAAGTGGCTTGCCTCTTAAATAGTCAAAACTGCTGTGGAAAAAAAATTAATTTAATGCCCAGGTCACTACTTTTAAGGTGTTCAATACCTGATTTTTTATATTTCTTTTACAAGATTTAACCCTGTTTCCAATGTATTGTAATAAGCTAGAAAACATAAAATTATGTTTTTATCCATCCCTTAAGTTAAACGAAGATAATTGTCACTTGTCTACAGGAATATTGTGCCCAAGAAAATGTTTGTGGCTGCAGAATTAAAGGTATACCACAATATCCATATCTTCATGACCAGAAAGGGCATGTTCATATGTGATGAACTGTTTGTTGTGAGTAGCCAACTGATCTTGTTTCTTTTTTTGTGCAAAAAATTATAACCACCGTTTTTTGCTTAAAAATACTAACATTTTTTCTGCAAAAAACTCTATATGGCCAATGGAGACACAATTTAAAATGTTCAGGCAGCAATGTAGTACAGTGCCCACCTCAAATATTTTCTGTAACAAAACGTGACTCTAGAGTGGCTTAAAATACCTTGTCTCTTGGATGAAGTTTAAAATTGAGTTCTCAATTTTCAAATGAAGAAAAGATATTAAAATGTTTACTGAAATACCTTTTATTTCAAACCTTATTTTCTTCTCTAACAGATATTTTTAAAATCCATTTTACAGGGCAAAAATTGAATGTTAATTTTTCCGCAGTCTATTAAATGTTTCAATTTATATGGCACATGAAAACACCTGGCATCATTACAAAAATACAAGACTTGAGGGAACAAGTGAACCATTTGGCTAAATTTGCATCCTTCTGCTAGAATCGAAAAAGTAAAATTACATAAAATGCCAAGGTTTAGATAAGCTTCTTTAGCTACATCAAGCACTTAAAACTGCTCTGTCATTTATTAAAAACTTAAGCAAATTTTTCATCATGGACTGAAAACCATCGTTTATAAAGTCTATTTAAATATGGAAATGATCTGTCCTGCTAATCCCTTCAAGGCACATGAGCGAGACTGATAAGTGCAGCTACAACAGGAGCCGTTAATAACAAACAAAATAATGTGATGTCTGATAGTGAAAAAGAAAAATGTAAATTGAAATAAATCATACCTGAATAAAAAATGTACAGCTTTATATTACATTGTACCAAAAGACAATGACAAAATATTTATTTTCAATCTGACAAAAAGTGATGACATACCATTTCTTCAAAATTTATTTATTTATTTATTTACTCCTTTTGTATACCGCCTATATCAGCCAAAAAAGGCGACTTGTTGAAAATGTTGAAATTATCAGCTGGCAACTATGATTATATATAAATATTCAGAAATTTTAGGCCACATGTCAAAATGAATAAGAAAGGACTTAACACTGACCAAGCATGCACATAACTGTGCAGCACAAAAGACATTATGCTTGATGTTTTGTTTTGTTTGTTTTTGTTTTTGCATTTTCATGCTTCCAACAGTCCCCTTGATCAATGTTCGCCAACAGCTATGCAGTGACTTGAATTATTTCAAACTCCAACTCATTTTAGTTATGACTTACCTCCACTGTCATGGACATACTTCAACTTCCTTGAATATTGTGTGAACTATTTCTGACGCTCAGTGTTTGCAATGTGTAATTTTTATTATTAGTCTGTTTTAATTTGGTTGCATATGTTGTTTATTGGCTATTACCTACAAAATGCCTTTAAGAAAATATAAATAAACACATGGCCAAAAAGAATACTTACTGCAAATTTTCATCAATGGCCAATTGTGTAAGTTTTTTCCATGGGTTGAATGCAGAATCAATGCTATAGAGTCGCATGTGCATTGCCAATACATGGAACAGCTGATCTGAGGGTAAAAACACAGGAAACCATCTGGTAGGTTAATACATTTGGCCAAAACTACAATATTCCATACATTTACATATTTATTTATTTATTTATTTCGGACATTTGTATCCCATCCTATCTCGACCTCTGCAGAGGGACTCAGGGCGGCTGACAAAACAGCACCCCATGGTGCCCACAACCGATACTCTATCTGTCTATATCAGAGCTTTCCAAACATTTCATGCTGGTGACACACCTTTTCTAGACATGCATCATTTTGTGACCCAGCAATTCATTATTTACTAACAAACTGGGTATTAAACCAACCCCTTATAAGAGATACAGACACACATCAATTGCAATAAGAAAATGTATGGTGACACAACATATCTCATAAAAACCTTTCATTTATATTTTAAAAATGTATTATTTGTAAGTTAATATGCATTTCCAAGATATTTGTCATTTTTGTTACCTTCACATGACATACCTATACACTGTAGCTGACACACTAAAGTGTCACAACACATCATTTGGAAGGCTCTGGTTTACATAACCGTACTTCTCCTATTCGTTACTCATGACTACTACTACTAGTGATGATGATGATTGATGATGATGATGATGATGATTATAGCAGAAACACCAGGGGGCATCCTGTTCAACTCCCTCCTACCATGGAGGAAAAGCATGGAGTGGTGGGAGGAAAATAGGGTTTTGTGGGTGAAGGAGGCAATCTCCGAAAAGTATTAAAGAGTATGTCGAAGGCTTTCATGATCGGAATCACTGAGTTGCTGTGAGTTTTCCAGGCTGTATGGCCATGTTCCACAAGCATTCTCTCCTGACGTTTTGCCCACATCTATGGCAGGCATCCTCACAGCAACTCTATTAAACAGGATTCTTTGATGTATATAATATAGTATGTCAAATATCTTAATATAGAAGCAGCTGCATTTCAGTGCAGTTAAAATACAAAAATTCCACTTGGGATTCCTGTGATTAGCATGAACCAGTTTAAAACCGAAGTTTAGAACAGTTTAGAAGAACTAAATAAAATATCACTGCTTAAGAGTACCTTTTCCCTAGATCTGCAGAACTAATGGGGCATAGAATGACATCTATAACTAACACAGAGATCAACTAATAAATATCCAGACAAAGGACTCTTTCCTTTTTGTATTTCCTACCTATTAATTATCAGGCTATGATTCCTTCAATCTGCTGCCATGTCTGGGACCCATGCAAGGTGTTCAGTTTATTTTGATATGCTTATCTGCACTTAAATCTCTAGTAGAATTATATATGTTTTGATGCAATTTTAAGGGTGAATATATAAAAAGTGCATTCTTTCTTGTATTTATTGACTATTGCATAATATCCAATACCATCACTGCTTGTCCAAAACATCGATTTTTCCAACGCATTAAATAGATGCGTTCTATTTATTTCTTCTACAAAATGAAAATCCACTCTTTATCACATTTTAACTGTTTACCCCATATCTCTGTACTTCTGTTTGCAATGCTGCTGCCACCTGACCAGGCTCCTGGAAAGGCTATATTTATATAACTCACAGAAGGAATTAATTTATTTTCCACAAGTAGACAATTATGCATAGGCACTTGGGAGGCCAAAACTGTCTCATGCTGAAATCAGCTGATTCAAGCAGAGCTTGAGGGCTGCAATTAGCTCCTGGGGTTTCTGAAATAATGGAAGGCACAGATGACATTGGAACCGATGGCTGTCACCTGTTTTCTGAACAAGACAGAGTGAATGAGGGCAAAACAAGTCCCCGTTTCTCTTGGCAAAAGATTATAGCAGAAAATTGCATTTTACTAAAAGCCTTTTCCTATAGGCATTTTTTCCCAGACATTAAAGGGGCAAATACTCATATATATATTTGTATAGCACTTTTCTCCTTGGTCATAGGAAAGGTGCCATGCAGATCACCAGATCCAGACCTTTTGGGACTTAAAGGAAGTTTGATACAATTCCATTCCCCATATTGATGGGAAAATAGTCCATCTGTTCTCCTAGTGGAGACCGCCATGAGATCATAGAACCTTCTACAAACACAGAAAACATAGCAGGATACTATCCTTGGTTCTCATTCAGACGCAATGCCCAAACATGGCTTAGAATGTATACACACCTTAGAGAGACTGCCTTTTCTCCTCTTCTTGCATGCTAGAATTCTCAGCAAATGATAGTTACATACCTCCAGTTTTCACTTGGCTGATTTTCCATTCGTTTTTTTATGTGTGGGGGGAAGGGCATGGCTGAATGTAAACTACTATTTGGGGCAGGGGTCCTGAAACTACAGCCCAAGGGCCGATTACGGCCCTCTAAGTTCATTTACCAGGCCCTTGCTCAGGGTCAACCCAACTCTGAAATGATTCGAACCTGTGACCTTTCAGTCAACAAGCTCAGCAGCTCAGCAGTTTAACACACTGAGCCACCGGGGGCTCTCTTTTTAGCTTTAAAATGTTGAGAATGTGAATTTATCAAGCTGAATTTAAGCTGTCTGTTCAATTAATTCAAAAATTTAATGTTTTTTGGAAATCCTTTGCGTAAGAAAAAGCCAGGAAGAAATAATGTATATCTTGTATGAATAATTGTCTTAATCACCATTCAAAAATGAAATATTTCATAACTCAGTGTTTTTCAATGTTTTAGAAAAGAGAACATCTTTGGGGAAATAATCCCTGCACCAATTTTCTTATTACTCACCCAGGTCTTAAACAGATACCTTAATATACAGTCTTAGTATCATAGAGTTGGAAGAGACCACATGGGCCATCTGACAGCTTCAAGAACAGGAACTAAGGTGAAACTTGCAAATATACTCCTGACCCCAATCAAAGTATGAGAATCCAAGCTCTGAGCTGAGCTCAGGACTATAGCCAAGCTATAACCTGAACAAGCTAAATTCCTATTCAACTGATCAACTGACCTCTGTCTTATCTACTGACCTCTATCTTGTATAGCTTAAGCTTCAATTTGTTTGCACTCATCCAGTTCATTACTGACAGCAGAAACTAGTTTAGTATCAAGACAGCCTCCTTGGAATCAGATTGAAAGGAGAAATGGAATTAGGTCTCATTAGCTCCCAAACTCCAAATAACCTCTCCCAGCATTCATGTATATATTGAATATCGTGGGGGACAAAACCAAGCCCTAAGGGTTTAAAAACCACAAACTCAAGAGTGCCACCTTTTGCATTCTTCCCTCCAAGAAAGGCTGGAACAACTGAAAAACAGTACTTCCACGTTCCATTCTGGAGAGGTGACCCAGGATATTATGATCAACGGTATAAAGAGCTGTGGAGAGGTACATGTATAGGGATGCACATGCTGTCCAATTCCACCAAGGCAACCAAAGTGGTTTCTGTTCCTTAGCCAGGCCTGAAGACAGATTACAACTGACAAATAATCTATTTCATCCAGAAACCCGTGGAGCAGGAAATATTTCACATACTTTAAAACTTTGTACAAGAATAAAATATTAGGCACCGGTAATTCTCTAATACAATTGAATTCATTGAGGTTTCCCCCCAGTAACAATCTCACTAAAGTCTCTTTTAGGCAGGATAGAAACTGGGTGTGCTGGAGCAAAGTATGAAGCACCCTCTTTGCATAATTTTAAAGGCCAAGAAGACAACCAATACCACTGTTCTACAAATTTTCAGTTTTCTCAGTTGCGGAAACGAAATGTGCCGTTTCTTAATAAATTTAACATGCTGAATTCAAATATAATAATTAAATGTGTTAATTGGCTCTGGTTTTTATGCAACAGCTATTTCAATTTTCTCCACAATAGGTAATTCGTTAATATTATGATAATGCGCCTAACCTTACTGCATGTATATAAACCGTGAATATTTACTAAATTTTAGTCAAATTATATTGCCAATAGTTTATACATGAGAAATATTTATTTAATTAGTCTATTGTTTATGTTTGTGCAGCAAGAAACTATATTAGTAAGCCTAATGCAGTTGAAAAGTCTGAAAGTTTAAATGTCGCTTTAATCGTGACTTTAGTTTATATCCTGTTTGCTTCTCTTGACTTTTCTTTTGTATTCAAGGAAAGGATTGTCTCTTACAATGCTCCAGCAGTAGTCTGACAGCATTGACGGAGTCCATTTACCTTGATATCTTTTTTCCATAGTGCTTTATTTACACACGTGCGAGGCATAACTACAGTAAAACGAACAATGTAAAACGATGTTTAACGATACTGTCTCAGTCTTCAACTGACTGACCCTCACCGTTCAAAAGTCTGGCCTTATATAGGGCTTTCTGGCTTTTGCACACGGCACTAATACTGCGTCATCAAACTTTCTAGAGTATTCTAGAATCTTCCATAGTGTAAGTCGCAACATGCATTTTTTCAACCATACGTGATCACGTGATTGCTTATATCATAAAAACTAGAGCCAATATACATTTTTAAATGTCATTTTCGTTTTCAGCACCCCAAAATCATAAAAGAACAACTATTTTCAGGCCCACAACTTTTTCTCTGTTGAACAGTGTACTTAATATCCATTTTAGTTTCCTGTTTGCAGTCTCAGGCAAATTCGTGTATACATTTAGTTTTTTCTAAAGCAGTACTAAAAGTTTATTCCCCTCCCTGTCCCCATCCATCACAAACATAAACTATTAAAAATAAGGTATGTGGCAGAACTAAAGATGGGAAGGCCTGGGGAAAAAAACAGAAAAATAGGGGATGGGGGTGGAAAAAACAGAACCATTGGGGGAGGACCTGAAAAATTGGGAGGGGGGGGCAGAAAAAACTTTTTCCTCCCAATTTTTTCAAGGATTTTTTCCAGGCCTTCCCATCTTTAGGCAGAACATAAACAAGTATGATCTGTGGCTTCAAACATACTTCAGCAAGAGGGAAAAAAGCAAGCAAGAAAAAAGGCACTCCCTGTCCAGTGCTGCAGCATTCACCTAAGAGTTACCAGTTGTCCTCTGTCTACCCTACAGACAAAGTTCAAAAGCAGGTTTGAAACTACAAACCAAATATAACACAGAATTTGCTCCCTCTAATGACTCTGTGTCAAATAATATTTTGAATGAGACTGACTGCATATATACAACCATTTAATAAAAAGCTTTCTTGCCCAAAATAAATATCACAAATTCCAGATCAGGAAAATGTTACATGCAATTCTTATAAATCAAATAACTGATGGGGAAAACTAGAAATCAATGTATTTTCTATATAGACTGTTTTAAACTTAATCTTGTAAATCAATCAGATTACTATAACATTTTAAAATAACTTTAAAAATATTCTGAATCTGACTTCGTTACGGTCAAACAGATTGTAATGAATTATAAAATACATACTCAAACATGATCTCTTCCCAGCTGTACTTGCACCTCCTAGACATAGATTGCCTCCACGATGAACCAGTTCAAGTTCCAAGTTTGTCCTAAATTTTTAAAAAATAATATTCTATTAATAAATTATCTATAAATTCTAAAGAATCAGTACAGTTCCTGCAGGTTAAGTTCATCTCAGGTAGGTCTGCTGCATTATTTACATTTCTCCTCCTCCTTCTTTTAAAGGCTTTCAACAAGTAAATTTAGTTGAGGACAAGATTCCTTTTATGCAAAAATATTTCCACTGAACCTAGTAGCAGAAAAATATATGCATACTTCAAAAAGTAATTTACAATGCATCGCAAATGAAGCTGCAGTAAAATATCTGCATCTCTGTATATACATAATTTATATATGAAAAAGCCTTGGTTAGGGACTGGTAGACATTGTATTCTGAGGAGAATGTTCAACTTAGAATGTTCTCCTGCCCTTTTCCCATGAAGAGAAAGAAATATGAATGTGTTGTTGAAAGCTTTCATGGCCAGAATCACTGGGTTGCTGTGAGTTTTCCAGGTTGAATGGCCATGTTCCAGAAGCATTCTCTCCTGACATTTCGTCCATATCTATAGCTAACTAACTCAACCAGAGAAGTCAGCCATAGCAGAGCACTTGTTGAACCAACCTGGACATAGCATATTATTTGAGAACACAAAAATGTTGGACCACTCTAACAACCAACCTATCAGACTACACATTGAAATCCACAAGCATGTGGACAATTTCTACAGAAAGGAAGAAACCATGGAAATGAAAAAAACTCTGGTTACCAGTATTTAAAAAACTCTAAAAGAAGGGCAGTACATAAAGAACAGCATTCAGAAGACAGGGGAATTCCAGAAACAATCGGGGCCAGTTACACCTCCCAGCAAATGATTCCCCCAAGCAGGAAGCAGCCAGGCTTTGAAACTGCAAGGCTAGTCAATACTAATCAAGGTGGCCAATTGCAACATTCACACCTGCCTCAGGCAGACAAAAGTTCTTTCTCCCACCCTGAACGTTCCAGATATATAAACCCCACTTCCCTAGTTTCCAACAGACCTCACAACCTCTGAGGATGCCTGCCATAGATGTGGGTGAAACATCAAGAGAGAATGCTTCTGGAACATGGAATTCAGCCCAGAAAACTCAAAGCAACCCAGAAATATGAATGTTTTTCAGTGTTTCTAATACTTTGCAGTTTGAAACCATCTGTATTTTCCATGTCAATTGAAAAACAGCTGACACACAACTGTCCCCAAAACATCAGTGTACACATGGTACAGTCTGATTTGTTATGTTTTCTTCCTCAATGAAAACACACAGCCCATCACCTGAACAGATACTTTAGGTGTCTTATATTAAGTCATTAAACTGTGGCACAAGGTGGACTGTAGCTAGTCAAAAGAACATAGAGAGAAGGATTTCATTCAAAATGCAGTATTTTGTGCGGATTTCAGCTGCATCCGTCAGAAAAGAGCTCTCTTTGTGTAGAATGTTTGTTAAATACATTCACACATTACTAAAATAGTAACATTTCAAAATATTAATATCCCTAAGTCTGCAGCTTATGTCGCCAATTTTTGAAGGAACGCTTTAATCCTCTCCTACTTCAGGAAAAAAGCAATTTAACATTGATAATGTTCAGGCTCTGAGCTCCATCTGGTTGCTGCTGATAAGACTATCCATGTGACAAGGGAATTTTCCACTCTTCAGGCGATTTGCAGTGCTCACTGAACTTCTAAAAAGCTACCAGCAAAGAAGCTAAGACACAGACTCCCTATTACTGGACAGAATAGGAAATGCAGATCACATGTTTGTTCACCACAAAAATTGCAATAAGACCAATATTTAGAGTCACAAACACTTTCATTTTATTTATTTAAAGGATTTATACTCAGTTCCACACCTGGAAAGGCTTTGAGAGCAATTTATACAGTATTTAAAACAAGATGACACAAGAGGAAAAAGGAGGAAATAGCAAACAAGAACATTTGGGGAGTAATTGTAATGTTGCATGATTCGATAAAAGGAAATACAATATTGTTAGATAATGTGTCGTGTCTGGTCACAAGCTAGAAAAGGAACATAAACAATTTTAAGGCCAGGGCTGACTCCTGTCAGTGTTTTTGTAGGCACCATTCAAAGATCTCAGCCATTCTCCACAACAGGAGACTGTACATGATAATCTCCCTTACTCTGTTAAGAACAGCTACTTCTCAGCAGCTCTTGCTAACAATCGGATTTGAAGAGCACCATGACTTCCAAAGAAGACATAAACTTCCTAAGCTACATGATGCTGGCAAAAAATGTACTTTTTGAAAAGACTTCCAGTTTATTATAGCTGTAGCTATTGGTCCCACTGGAGAACAGAAACAAAGCTGAACTCCTACCATCAGAAATCTGCTGCAGTACAACTGTTTCATATGAATTATTTAGATTCTACTGGTCATTATCCACAAGGCAGTTCTCCATACAGGCTCAGGTACTGTGGAAATAAGAGCTCTGTTTTCCTTGTGCATATTTGCTAAAATTATAAGATAAAAACATAAAGAACAGAAGTGGGCACGCATCCAGGGTGTAATAGACTCTAGCTCTCACATTCCTCACTAAAGGCAATGCTGGCTAGGGCTCCTGGGAAAAGTGATGGGAGTTGCAGTCCACCATCATCGGAAAGCCACATGATTTCTAGCCCTAGTCTAGCCTAGCCCAATAATTTAATGGACAATGGCAGCAATCAGAAAGTGCTTCCCTCAAACTACTCCTTGACATAAGTTGATGGGGCTGTCTAAAAATTGTATCTATGATTTCAAATGTCGTATTTTTTTTCTTTTGCATATGAGTGCCAATGTTAATGGGAAGACTGACATCAGTAATTGTAGCCATGGGGCAGGGATGATAATAGTCATTTCCATGAATAAAGCAGCCCAGAACTCACTGCAGCTGGCCAGCAGCTGCATTAACTGGAGATAACTTTGAACTGATTGAATATTCCAAGCTGTTTTGATGCAATAGGTAATAGAGGAGGAGAAATCATAGAATCATAGAGTTGAAAGAGACCTCGTGGGCCATCTACTCCAACCTCCTGCCAAGATGAACGAATATCGCATTCAAAGTACCCCTGATAGATGTACATCCAACCTGTTTAAAAGCCTCCAAAGAAGGAGCTTCCACCACACTCCAGGGCAGAGAGTTCCACTGCTGAACAGCTCTCACAGTCAGGAAGTTCTTCCCAATGTTCCTACTTTAATTGCACATGCCAATGCTGCGGGCTTTAAGGTCCTGCTTTGATTAATATGCTTTTTGCTACATTTAAAAATGACTTTCCAAGATATTTCAAACACATTTTTCTCTAATGCTGATTAAAGATATTTCTGTACAGTACAGTGGAGCTTCTTCTCTAAAGAATGAGACTAGATAACTTTCAGATATCTCATGGTCCTATCTTAGTACAATAAAGGTCAAAGTCTTCAAATCTCTTAAGAAAAAAAAATACTTTAGAAAGTTTGAGAACTGGAACAAAAGGTTTGAGGTCTGCGGTGCACATTTTCCAACCAACTTCAATTCCTAATATTTTTATAAAGGTCAGGGTACTGACTCATTCATCAACTTGGAAAACACATCACTACTCTTCTTCAGAGCTTCACTTCACTTACAGCTGCGACAGAATGGCTTCCTGAAGGTTCAAAAAAGAGTTGCTCAGCTTCCTGAAACACTCTCATGCACGAATAATACGAGACCAAATATGTATGTGCATACAGGGTGGCTTGAAACATCTCTATTCACTTTCAAAGCAGCTGGCAATGTGCAGATATACTATCTCAAAAGGAAATGCTGAAAAATAATTTAATAAGCTATGTTAAGGGGATGCAAATGTACTGAAAACTTTTTATGTATCTTCTTTAAAAAAAAACCCAGTCTGGTCTTGGGAGGAATTTCAAGCATTATGAGGCATGGTAAGTAACAGCGCCCTTGTTTCATGTGGGAGAGAAGCGAAAGGATACTGGCAAAAAGAACATTGTTTTTAGACTACATTTTATTGTTGTGTGTTTTCATCTTACTGAAATTTCTAAACGCGAACATATCTTGGGGGGTTTCTTGACAATATTTGTTTAGAGGGTTTGCTTTATCTTCCTGTAAAGCCAAAACAGTGTGACTTTTCCATCATCAGTACATATAAATATTCATTTAGTGAAAATCCTCATCTCCTGGGCAATGTCCCCACTATTTTAAAGACTTGGCTTGGCTACTAAAAGGGTGACTCTGTTTCCCCATTAAGAAATAAACAAAATGTAAAGGGTAAGACCAACAGGGCTGGAAACAAAGACAGGGCTCACATGCTTCCTTCCTCATCTGTCTTCAAGTGGTTTCAAATTTATGGTCAAGGCAAACTTATCAAAGGATTTTCTTGGTAAGATTTATTCAAAGGGAGTTTGTCTTTGCTCTCTTCCAAGGATGAGAGAGTGTGACATGCTCAAGGTCACACTATTGATTTCCACAGCTGAGCGGGGAATTGAATCCGAATCTCCAGATTTACGGCATGTTGACTCTTGCGGACTAAATTAGCTCCTAACAATATCTGACAGAAATGAACTGTTTAGAAAAAGAAAAACCAGTGTCATCCCCCAAATCACAACTATCATGTTCACCTTTTGCCCACTTTCCCAAAATTGCAATCTGGAAAGAGAAAGAAGAGGAAGGAAAATGGCAGCCAAGAAGATATGCCAAAGGTTCTCTGTAGATTTCCAGCTCCCTGCAGTAAAAGCTTTGGAGAATGTTGAACTCTCTGCCTCAGAGTCTGGTGAAAGCTCTTTCCTTGGAAACTTTTAAACAGAGGATGGATAGCCATCTGTCAGGAATACCTTGTGCTTTTCCTGCATGGCAAGAGGGTTGGACTAGATGTCCCATGTGGACTCTTCCAATTCTTATTCTATGATTCTATGTCTGCATTCTTCAATGTCATCAGGAACTCAGAAATTCTTCTATTTTTTACAATCTTCCTAATAAACTAACCCAGAACATTTTTAAAAAGCAGGCTTCCCGAAGTCAGCACTGAAAACCGCAAGAAGAGGTTGTGGAAGAGACTTTGAAAAGAGGCCTGCTTAGTTATGAAAACTGTCTCTTTCTTATTCTTCCTCCTCAAGAGTGTCATTTGATTATCTTAATATGGGACAGTTTACAATATGAAAAAAGCTAAGATTTTAAAACCATTAAATAATACTATTATTAATAAACATTAACTAATCTTAATAATAAATAAACATTATTTTAAAAACAATTAAAATATATTAAGCATATATTATAAAAGCAGTGGATACTTTTTTGAACCTATCTTATAAGATCTCAGGTATTTCTATCACTATCCTCATTTCCAGAACTATTATTCTTTCCTAAAACAAAATATTTTCTCATACTCTAAGTAATGCATAGGATGTCACAGAACCCAAAAGCCGAAACACTTTCCACTTCTTTATCTTTGTGTTAGAATGTAAATCTCAGTTATGCAAATGTGAATATGTACAAGTAAAAGCTATGTTTATATATTTCTGATGCTCAATGTGATTCCTGAGTAAGTAAAAAACAGCTTTCCTGCTTTAACATTAAAATTAACAGCAACTCTCCATTTTAAGATGGATGCCCATTTCAATAAGACTGGAGTTGTCAAAACCTAATGTTTCAGCATTGGACTTCAATATGATCTGGCTTATATCTCATGCACAGAAATCCAGCAGTTTATTGCGAATGTAGGAAACTGGATTCAAATCTGATCCCCTTAAACTGAGAAAGACGCCCCTCTTTTCCCCAAGGAAAGTGTCAGCTCCATCTTCTTTTTTCTAGATATAAGCACTCAATTACCAAAAAAGGAAAAGCCTCTTCAAATGAAAGCTCCATATTCAGGCAAGGACTCCTGGGGCGTTTTGGGTCTGAAGAGCACAATCTAACACCAAATATGATGTGAATTAGTCAAGGGAATTCTGCCACATTGTGAACAAAAATTATTAACTTGCTAATGTATCTGACTGGTAAAGTAACAAGCAGCTAACAAACAGAAAATGTGATATATGGATGTCTTACCCACCTGGCTACAGAATACATGAAAAGAAAATCATTGTCTGGTGATCCAGGAAATTTGCTGTAGTCGGTGTACTTCTTCTGAGTAGTACTTTTGATATCCTTCATGACAGACTCCATCTCTTTACTTAAATTGGTTTCTGACTAGTAAAAAAAAAAAGATTGAGAAATTGCTAATTTTATTTACCTTTAGTAAGAAGTAGTTACAAATAAAACTCATCAAAAATAAAAATACTTTTAATGTTTTTGCAAGGGCCATAAATCAAAAGATGAACTATTATTATAATAATGTTCAATGTTTTATAAATACACACACACACATACACACAATATTATACAACTCCATGGAATTAAAGACAACAATTTAAAAATACCAATCTTTTGTAGACAAAAGTACTATTTTAATGTAAGTACAAGCACTTTGCTACCAACCCTACAGTGAAATTGTACAGGTTCATTATCCCATACTAGTCTACTCAGGAGTAATCCCATCAATTTCAATGGGACATAGGTATGCAAAGGACTGTAGCCTAAACCTTGTAATTTTAACTATATCATTTTAAATGTCACAGTGAGACTTCAAAATGCATAATTATATCAAAAAAGTCATAATAAAATGACTAATTGGCATTCTTAAATACTTTCCTGATTAGCACATTTTAAATGGCTTCCTAGGTACAGGTGACTGATACTTTATGGCTTAAAAAATTATGAGTTCCAAGTAATATAGTTTAGTTCTTGGAGTTTAATGTCTAATAAATACATATAATAAAATACAGCAGACAAATGCTTGCATAATCATACCCAATTTTAAAAGATGTTAAAATGTTAATGTAATTTAAGTTTTTAAGTGTTTAATGTGGAAAAGAGAGAGGGATCATTCGGGTTTAAAGGTCTATAAAACAGAAATGAGTCATGGAGATGAGAGTGTAGCAGGGATAAAGAGAACGGAAAAGAAGGTGGAAAGGTTAAGGCAAATTAACAAAGATCTTTCTGCCTTACACTGATGCTTACTGGGAAAGTTCCCAGCTGCTCTTGAAGCTCTTCTACTTCTTTTATGAGATCTTGCATACTCTTGTTACTGTGGCACTGCCACAGGGTGCGCTCCACGTTGTTGCCAGGATAACATGGAAGGACGCTGTTGGCAAACTGCCTACACAGAGGACAAGTAAATTCTCCTTTGTCTACAGAAAAGCCCTGGAGAACCTGGTCATTCTGAAAGGAAGAAAGCAAGAAAAAATCCAGTCATTTTAGAAGCAATGAATAATCACTGTTTATAAATCTCAGAAAAAACAAAATAAGAAAAAATGGACTGCTCTAGATTACAAAGCAAATGTACACTACTGATAAATATTGAAGGAGAAAAATATACACATCACTGCTCCAGAATTTGCCAGCAGTCCAGATTATATGGAAGCTATGTAATTCATAAAACTAAAATAAATATATTTGATCATTTGGATCCCCCCTTCTTCTCAGTATACAACACGCCTGATTTGGAACAAAGCATGTTAACAACATGAATTTGTTTTTCAAATGTACTGGCTAGTTATTGTAATTTCATCGCTAGGGGCACATTTGCAGAGATAGAAGAATACTCTATGCATTTGCTGATTCTGCATATTATAAACAAACTATAATTCTTCTCTCATGTCCTTTTAAAATGTTGTTTGATGTCAGTCATTGTTTTAATATAACAACAACAACAACAACAACAACAATTTTATTTTTATACCTCACCTCCATCTCCCCAAAGGGACTCGGGGCGACTTACAAAGCGACATGCCCAATAAAACAGGTTAAAGTAAGCATCAAAAACAAGCAATATCAAACATCAATAAACATAAAATCAGGCAACATTATAAAAACAATTAAAAGCAATATCATGGCTGAGCAAATAAAGTGCTGGGTTCGGTTCATAATTATCAAGTGCAATGAATCCTAAGTAGAGCCAGGGAAAGTGCAAAAATCGGAGGGCTGGGCTAGGAGGCAAATGTCCTTAGGCTATTAAAGCGTTAGAAGATGTTTCTTCATAGTTCTATATGTCCATTTTTTTAAACCACTACTTTATCTTTATTCTTTAACATTCATCCACTTATGACTTAATCAGACAAGCAGTGTGATGAAGTGGTTTGGACACTGAATTTTTGAGACCAGGGTTCAAATTTTTGAGACCAGGGTTCAAATTTTTGAGACCAAGGTTCCACTGGGTGGCCTTGGGCAAACTAACTCTCTCAGGTTCAGAGCAAGGCAATGGCAAACTCACTTCACAAATAGCAAAATAAAACTTGTCAAGAAAGCGTTTCATCAGCCACACCACTCACATTGCCACTCAGTGGTGCCAGAAAGCAAACCACTTCAGTTTGGGTACACAAGATATTTTAATCTGTTAAATGAAGACAGGACAACAATAATTTGCAGTGAAGGATGGGCAGACCATTCACTCCTCCATCCACCTACCTTTCCCTTGGTACTGCTAATTCATGCGAATTATCAAATCAGAACTAAATGAACTTCAGCAAATTGAACACTAAATCCTGAATGTTTTGTAAGACATTTTTATTCCTATATATAACAGATCTTTCACATATCTGCATTTGTACCTACATGATTACACAGTGTACTTGTGCATCATTGTCCCTTTTTTAATCATGAACATACAATTTGCATGAATATGCCCCATCAAACAGAATAAAAAAGATTTCTTTCTTTTTTAAAAAAACACTGGTCAATGCAAATTTAAACAGGGTTTAGAAGAATGTAGAAAGACGTCTAATATGTTGAATGCTCAATCCACTGCACATTAGTTCTCAAAATTCATACGTTCTTCACATATATCATTTCACTACTGGTATAACCCAACAGTGAACAGGATGCTAAAGTAGATCAGCTCACTCTTATTTAGAATGGATCCTTTTTCCATACTAATAACCTCTTTATTAAAAGTCTGATTAAACTATGTTACTAGACACATTACTCCACATTAATACACCAGATCAAGAACTTTACATGTTGCCACATACAAGTCACATCTTCCTCAAAAGTTTTTGCTATGATAATGCAATGCTACTCAATGAAAGTTTGAAGCAATGGAAAATGAACAAAACCATTTTTATTCTTTTCCCAGTCAGTTTCACATTGTATTTATTTTCAGTCAGTCCCTTATTATAATCATGATGGCATCTGTAACTTACTTGCAGTAAATCTGGACTATATATATTTCATACATTAGGAAAAGTCAGAACAAGAAGGGGAGAAAAGCAAAATATTTTAAGATTGTCTATCTTGTAATTATTATTATTATTATTATTATTATTATTATTTACAGTATTTGTATACCGCTTTTCTCACCCCGAGGGGGACTCAAAACACTTATTATAATTTAAACACTTATTATATTATTATTATTTAAAACACTTATTATATAAAAGGCACTAGTGGACCCCACTAATGTCTGCAGCAAAACCTATTATAAAAAGGCCAATAACAAAAATGCTCTTTTGACTTACTCGCAGTGACTCCATGTAGGATTTGTGGCAATCTATGTGCAATGTATGCCCACAGGTTTGTACATACACACCTCCTTCCCAGCCAATTGACACTGACTGCAAACAGGAACTCTAAAAAAACAAGGAAAATAAGATAAACAATTTTAAAGAATTTGCTTAGTTAACCCTGTTTTTAAATACAGGATACTGTTTTTATTCTAGATACAGATACATTGAGATGGCATCTTTATCGCTTGAATAAGCATGGATAGTATTAGTTCTTCTTATTCATTCAAAACAACAATTGCTAGAATAGGTGCGATAATAAAAAATATTCTATGTACATGCATTTCAATATTTAATCCATCTAATCTAAAGCATGAACAACAGACAGCATTATGGATGAACCCTTTGTCCACCACCTTCATATCTGATAGGACGTCACACTGAGGAGGGGGAAGGCTTGTTTTCTGCTGCTCTGGAGACTAGGACACAGAACAATGGATTCAAATTGCAGGAAGGAAGATTCCACCTAAACATTAGGGAGAACTTCCTGTTAGTAAGAGTTGTTCAACAGTGGAATATGCTGCTGCCTTAAGAGTCTGGTGAAGTCTCCTTCTCTGGAGGTTTCTAGGCAGCAGCTGGATCTGTCAGGAGGGCTTTAATTGTATGTTCCTGATTGGCAGAATGGGGTTGGACTGAATGATCCTTGTGGTCTCTTCCAACTCTGTGATTCCATGATTCTGATTCTATGACCTTCACACTCAAGGAAGAGTACAGAAGACTAGTTTTGGTTTAAACTGACTGAAATCCAGGCACATATAAGAAAACAGGAAAACTGTGTTTAACACTAAAAAAAAGTGTTTCGTGTTAAACACACTACATTTCCAACTATTAAGCATGATTAAGATTCATTACTAAAATACAGCTTACTGAAAACAAAAGTAAAAACTCTTCCTTATAGACACAGCAGAGGAGGAAATAAGCAAACAAGCCATAAACCAGGCACACACTAATGTTGCATCCAAACTAGACCAGTGTGATACACTCAGATGGTTCCTATATGGTATATGGGAACAAAAAGGGACTGAAAGATCCTTTTATTGACAAACTGTGTTATATTGCATTTTTTGTCCTATAATGGCAGAGAACAATTTAAAAACAGCAGACCTCATGGGGGTGCCTGATGTGAGAATTTTGTTGCGGGACAAAGCTGAAAAAGTAAGTTGTGAAGAAATGCCTTCCCCATACCTAGATTATTTGTTCAACTATTTATCTATGCTTTTGCCACTTGGCTTCTCAACCCAAATGAGGCCTACAGATTCAGGCATCCACTTTGGAAACCCAAGGCTAGACTTACCAACCTGTGAACCTATGACAAAAAGATGCTAAGAAGGGCAGATCAATGTGGTGGTTTCCAAATGTCCTGCATGTCCCTGGGCTTCGGTCTGTACACATGCTCCTGTGATGTGATAAGAGAGTATGATATACCTCAACAGTGATTCATAGCTGCATTTGCTGCTTAAGAAAAACCGAAATGTATTCTGCTACATATAAACTACTTCTTTTGAAACATAACTGGGACTTTGCTTTTCATAAAAAATACTGGTTCCATTTTACAACTTTCAAATATTTTTAAAGCCAAGTAAAATTATTTTTTAAAACCTTCTGTAGCAATTAGAACTACAGTAAGAGTGCCAACTGTTAATATAATGCTGAGCTCAGTCAAAAAATGATTCAAAGGATTAATAGAGATTTCTGTTTTTATGCCAATAGAAATTTAAGGATTAATTATTTCCTGCTGTGACTGTTTTGGTACACTCATGATCAAGAAAGCCAAAAGAAAGTAAAAACATCTGATGCAACTAATATTTGAAATGGACCAGGCATTAGCAAGCTAAAACTGAAAGAATGTTATTTCATAAAGTTGTGATCTAGTTTCCCAAGGAAGAAGAACTCCTCAAAGCATACTTCTGGTCAGGACAAAATGTCGTACAAGTACTACACAATTATTGCAAAGAAGCATGTCAAACAGACAACCACTACTATAAAACAGACAACTCAAGGAATTCTCAAAGCACAATAGCCATTAGATTGTTTTCCTCTCCCTCTAGCTCTGAAGAGCAGCCAAATAGATAATGTTCTGAGGAATTGCTGATGGTAAAATGTTCCAAGGTCACCCATGGTTTCCTTTCACACTACACAATTACTATACTATGGTTTTACTTTAACTGCTATGGCAGTAACATATAGAAATGTATGGGGTCTGCAGTGTTGGGGAGATGCATTTAGATTTCCCATTTATAGTGATGGAACCATAGCAGTTAAAGTGGAATATAGGCATTTAAAAACTGGTTATGAACAAGACAGATTCTGTAGGTTTGTTCTTAACGTTGAATTTATATGTAAGTTGGAAAGGTACATTTTTAAGTGTAACTCTAGTCATATATGGGGGGGGGGGGAGAGAGTGTGACTGAGTTTTTGATACCATAAGGAAGGTATCCCTTGTAACGACTGTATGCTGTCTATGCTGTCTATCTTCCTGCTTAGAAGATTTCACCTCACTTTCTGAAAGTTTTGGGTTGTTATGGAAACAAGGATTGGTAATAAAGCTTCAGTGGGGACACTTTTTCCCACAATAACTCTTCCAGAAATGAATTTTGCTTCCTAGGGGTAGATTTACTCTCACCTCCTATTGTCCCATTACCATTTGTAACTAAGAGTCAGATGGTCCAAGCTCTGGTAACATTCCGTATAGACTACTACAACGCATTGCCTTTGAAGACTCAAATGGTCCAATGAGTGGAAGCCAGATTACTAACAGGAGCAGTGCTCTGGAAGCACACAACTCCTCTGTTGCACCAGCTTCATGGGCTGCCAGTCTGCTCCAGGGTACAATTCAAAATGTTGGCTTTGGCCTATAAAGCCCTAAACGATTCCAGCCCAGTTTACGTGTCCCAATGTATTTCACCTTATGAACCATCTAGGACTTTAAGATCATCTGAGGAGACCCTGCTCTCGGTCCCGCCTTCTTCACAGCTGCGTTTGGCAGGAATGAGAGGCAGGGCCTTCTCAGTGGTGGATGTTCGGCTGTGGAACGCCCTTCCCAGGGATATTAGATTGGCCCCCTCCCTCTTAACATTTCGCAAAAAAGTTAAAACCTGGCTTTTCGAGCAAGCATTTGCAAATGCAATGTAACAGGCAGAGATAGACCCACGGAACGACTGGATGATGTGATTGAATAATAATTTCAGTAAGGAGACACCAAGGATATATGTTTTTTTAGTTTTTATTGACTTTATATGAATTTATATTTTATATGCTAATGTTTTAAGTGTTTTTATGTTGCTGGGGGGGGGGGGGGCATCGAATTGTGCCAAATGTAAACCGCCTTGAGTCGCCCATGGGCTGAGAAAGGCAGTATATAAATATGGTAAATAAATAAATAAATAGGATGTTTGTAACTCAGGGACTGCCTGTAATAGTGTTATACTCCTGTAGTATGAAGGGGCTCTTCCTATGGTGAAGAGAGCCACCACACACCATAGATTTGTACCTTCTCACAATGCTACCCACCCTTCAAACTCAAACAAAGAGGATGCCAGGCAGCCTTCCCCCAACATCCACTGGAATGGCACTGCTCCAAGTTGGGAGAAGAGAAGAAATGAGTAAATAGCAGTCATAGATATACCTGCACTATGTGGTTCAGTGGTTCCCAACCTTAAGAGCCTGCGGACCACAGAGGCAAACACTAGATGCATCATGGACCATCAAGATCAATCAACTTATCTCCCCATCGAGCACCCACATACTTGGACCTGCCCTCAGCCACCAACTTCACTGACCTCAGGCTTTGCTTCCTCCTCCTTCTTGCAATCCAGCCTGTGAATGGGGCTTACTTCCTTGCCTCAAAAGCAGGTAAGAAATGAAGGATTCAAGACCACCATCCCTGCTCCTTCCCTTTGCCCAGCGTTGGACCTTTCCTTCCTCACCTTCTCTGGAGAAGGCTGCTGTCAGAACGTTTGCAGTCTCCTCCTTGCAATCCAGCTACTCACCACCTGGGCCTGAAAATAGGCCTCTGGCAGAAGCAGTTGCAAGCCCAAGCAAGGAGGGAAGGATCCAACACTGCCATTCTTGTTCCCTCTCTTTGCCTGACATTGGATCCTTTCTTCCTTGCAGGTCCAGGCATCAGGGGGCTGGGTTACAAAAAGAAGACTGCAAATGGGGTAAGGAGCAGGTAACGAAGGAAAGGTCCAACACTGGGCAAAAGGAAGGGGTGGAAAGGAAATCATTGGGTCCTTCCTTCCTTGCCTGGGATGGGTGGGTTTGCCAGATCCATAATTATATCAGTTATGGGAGACAAACTTAGATAAAGCCGCAAAGTTGATTCCACAATTGGGGCAGATTTGAACTTTCTAATCTAAACACAATACATAGTCAAGGGCACTGCTTATCACTTGAATCCAAACCTCCAACTTCTGTGAAACCCTCATTGCAATACTGTAATTGTTTCACAATTACTATTTTCAGTTTCACAAAAAATTATGAATTTCACGTTGCATGCAATTTTAGCATAGCATCACAGAAACTAAATTAAACATTAAATTAATGTAATGTACTACTACCAACAACACACTACTGCAAAAAACAATATCCATACATCTTTAAAGTACTGCTGTAAAGTTGCAAGCCGTGCTTCATATATCGCTGCACATGTATCCCCAGGATATATCTGCTCCTTTTCAGAAGTAGGCAACTTCTTGGACTCAGTAGAATTGCGACATTGCCCCAAAACTGTAGAAAGGTAGAAAATAACATCAGAAACGCACTAAATGTATCCGAAACCTACTTGCTTTTCGGAAAGCCTGTAAAACCTTTCTCTTCCAACAAGCTTTCGATGGGTGAATAACTCAGGACTATGTCTGTTCTTATTTTATTGTATTTTAAAGTTAATTGTATTGTTTTAATCTACTGCTGTAAACCGCTCCAAGCCAAATTGGGAGTAGCGGTATACAAGTCAAATAAATAAATAAATAAATAATTTAGAATCCAAAAGCTAGTCAGTTCTACTGTTCATCTTCTGAGCCAAACAGAGCATTTGGTGCCTTGTAAACACACATAACTGATGACAGAATTCACTAGAGAAACATGCAGTCTTATTTGTTTATTTACTTTGTTTTAAAGCCCCGCCCTCTCTCCCTCATTGAGGGACTCAGAGTGGCTAACACTTGGCAACAATTCAATGCCATTCGAACCTAAGACAGTACAAACTCAAAATACATATAAATCAAACACTGATAAATTTTAACACCTCCTATAAAACAACAGCACATCACAAAAACCAATATTAAAAACAAGCTATTTTCTGAGAGCACAGTGAGACCATCTAAACTCCCAGAAGGCTGCAGTTTTTACTATGGTGTGGCGGGAACAGGGTGTGATGAGGGAGATATTGCATGCTTTTCTCTTCATCTATGAATGAAACAGTTAATATAGGGATAAGGCTTCTCAAAATATATACTGTGGAGTATCTTATTTAAAATGTTCATATATTAGAGAAATAAAAAGACTGTAGAATAAATGTGTATTTGGTGGGCACAAGCCTCTTGTAGATCCTCTGAAGTACAAGACACTACATTCAACAAACTGCTTGTACCACAATGATCTGCTTCATAAGTCATACCTGAAGAGGGCTGTAGGAGCACAACTAATCCTGCTGGCCGCTCTTCGGTGGAAGGGCCACTCTGTCCACAAATAACACAATCATACACAGCTTCAGAAACATGTTGTTCTGCTGTTGCTATCTCCATAGCAATATCGACATCTGGAGACTCTATGAGACAGGAAATAATGGAAGCAAAAAAATTAACAAAGAAATTTCTTTTTAAAAAAGTAAAACTGATCTATTCTGAATAATTACACATGAATTTAAAATCCTTTAAATTTCTCTATCTCGTTGTCTCTGATGAACTGGACGCTCCTTACACTGAGATGCCTCCCTGGACTGTGTTGAAGAGAAGGTTGCCAACACAATTCAGGCTTCTCATTTCATTTAACTGATGCAGAGCCTAACATCCATGTGAAAGTATGCCCTTTTGACATTCTATAAAAGAACAGGCTTTCTTTTCTTTACTACAGTAAGAGATTAGAAATCTGGTGCATACAGCAATTTTGCAATCTCTAATTCTACACCCCAAAATACAAGAAAAAGGAAGATAAAGAAAAAAGAAAGCATATATAGTGACCAAAACATAAAGAAAGTGTACTTTACCACTGACCTATTAAATAGACTTATTCAATCAAGGGTGGGCAAGTGTGGAAGCAACTGAAGCTCAAGAAGACCTTTTGAAGGGCTGCTAAGGTCCACATAAACAGCCCTGGGGTGGCACACGGCCTACAGGTCACAATTTGCCCACTCCTGCATTCAACGAATTCAAAATCTTTTCCCCTGCTTTTTATTACAACACTAGGCACATGTAAAAACTTCTGATTGCAAAAGCTTCAAGATTCTTGTTATTAAAAGATGATATAATATCAAAAGTAGAAAGTATGGAGAGTAACATTAACCAATCTCTCCAATTAGGTCAGGATATTCATCAGTAAACACCATTACAGGCTACATAGTACCATAATTGCAGTGTTACATTTCATATTCTTGCCCAAACCTTCCAAAGTCTACATATCAGTAAGCAGCTGCTGGAATCAATGAGGATCTGTGTCTTTGTCAATCAAAAAAAATGGCTGCCTGGTATTCCTAACCACCTTTTTGGGAACCATCACCAGTGAAATAGGCCGAAAAAAACCCCTATTACAAATGCAATTTGTGCCGCAGATTGCTCACGAAAGAATGGATGGGAACACCAGGCATCTTCTTACCAGTAAGTGTGGTTTTGGGGACTTGCATGGTCCCTATATAGAACTTAAATTAAGGGCAATGTAGACATCATGAACATGTAGCAGTTCTGAATGTGTAACTGTAGGGTCCATACTTGTAACTGCTCAAGAGGATTCCTACCATCAAGACTGCGGTAACGTGATGGAGGAATTAAGAGTGCTCTATCCTGTTTCTCTTACAGGATCTTTTTAAATCTAACACCTAGAATTCAATCTACAGTCTGAAAAGCTGGGATTTTGCAAAGATAATAAGTGACAGTAGAATAACATTTAAAGAGCACAATGTTAAATGCTTCTTCCAATGATAAATACTTAAAACTTATAGTTCCTTGCGAACAACGCAGTCAAAGGTTTACAACAATCATGTTTTTAAAGAGTAATTTCACCAATCCAGAAAACATTCAGCGAAACTACTTGTTTTTTTAATGTATTTTTAAAGGTTTTAAAGCAACACAATAATGAACTGTTTAAAGGGCTACATATGTTTTTGGAAATAACAAACAACATATAATTTTCTTCCCTTTTCCCTTAAATACAAGCCATTTAAAACTTACAGTAACAAACTAGATTAGTGGTTCTCAACCTGTGGGTCCCCAGGTGTTTTGGCCTACAACTCCCAGAAATCCCAGCCAGTTTACCAGCTGTTAGGATTTCTGGGAATTGAAGGCGAAAACATCTGAGGACCCACAGGTTGAGAACCTCTGAGATGAAGAGCTCTCATTTCATCCAGTAATAATATGCCAGAGTCACCTCCACAAAAATAAAGTGCTCTACAGAATATATTTCACTATATTTCTACTTTAAACTCTACAGTTAAGTTTGATTTCCTTTCACCTATGTGCTTTTGCATTACCACATAGTTTTCCACTGAGGAAAAATCCACTACTTATTTTTTTGCCATTGATCCTAATATTAATAATAGAAGCATGATATAATAAAATATATGATGACAAAAGGTATTATTTACTATTTAACTTAATCCTAGCCTTTGTTAATACATGGATGGGGGACCACCAATGAATACCAGGTGTTGCAGGCTGTATTTTAGAGTAGGGAACTGGAAAAACTACTTCTAAGTATTCTTCACTTAAGAAAACACTGACATTTGTGAGGTCTCCATAAATTGACAAAGAAGTGCATACACACAGAGTTTATCAAGGATTGACTGATATTTTGATAATCACAATTTTATCTGAAGCTCATCAGCAAAGTTTCACACCACATTTCTTTTGAAAAAAATATATACGTATTTATTTGCTCTCTGATATTTAGTTTTCAAGATAACATCAGATGGTTCATCTCCTAGCTGTGCAATCACCAAATTAAAACACCATATTTGTTTCACGTATTACCGGCAACATCTGTCACAGTGAGGGTATGATTTTCATTTAGTTTCTCAATTGCAATATCCAAACAAAGGAGGTATTTGCCAATTTATCAATAAAACTTGGGGGGGGGGGGGAGTTACAGAGAAATGCTTCAGTAATAATGGCTACTGGCACTGTATAAACTATTGTCACCACCTAGTGGCAACCTAAGTAACAGCAGCAGGTTAATTTAGAAAATAATACTCAAATGAAAACTATTTGAGAACCTAATTAAAATTGGCATATATTTAATACTTTAAAAAACTATTTGAGGACCTATTTAATTTTGGTATATATTTAATACTTTTAAAATTTAGATAATTGCTGTTTTACCCTGATGTTATGGTAAGCCACCCTTAGATACGTGGATAAAGAGTGGGATATACATATTTTAATGGATAAAAAGCATGTTGTTGTCATTGGGGAAAAGTATGTACAGTAGGCCTGCGTATTATTCAAGGGATCCGATCCAAGTCCCTTCATATAATACATGTTTTGTGCATAATCCAGAACCCTATTTTTCTTACCTGAAATGGACAATGCCTTCCAATCACAATGTAGGACCTACAAAGTTGACATAAAATTGCACCACAGTCCTAGAATGAACAGTTCTCTGGGCATTACTAGGTCTCCCAGGGCAAATCTATGGCACTCAAAGCTCTTCACATAGAACTGAAACTACATTCAATGAGCTTACATACATTGTTCTTAGATAAACTAGGCAGCAGTGGAATTACAAGAAAGCAAAACTTCCCCTACAGTTCTTTAGCCTATAAAGGAATCCAGATACCACAACTTTTTAAAAGCAGTTACTAGGATGAGCTATCTTTTAAAAACTGCTGAATGCTTTTCGGAATAATCAGAATAGCAAGAGTATTTTTCAGTGAGTATTGAAATTAACTTAATTAAGGCTTGCTGCAATAGAGAAGCAACCACACTACAGAAATCAGCTATCACTCAGTTCTTGTGGGTTTTTTCGGGCTATATGGCCATGTTCTAGAGGCATTTCTCCTGACATTTCGCCTGCATCTATGGCAAGCTTCCTCAGAGGTCATATAATAATACGCAGACCTCTGAGGAAGCTTGCCTTAGATGCAGGCGAAACGTCAGGAGAAATGCCTCTAGAACATGGCCATATAGCCCAAAAAAACCCACAAGAACTGAGTGATTCCGGCCATGAAAGCCTTCGACAATACAATCAGCTATCAGTTTCCATAATTAATATTCATAGTGTTAAAATATATGAACGTGTCTGTACAACAAAGTAATTATGTTTTTATATTAACCATTAAATCTAGTTAATTTAATGGTTAGTTTAATTTAATTAGTCTTTCAGCTATAGTTTGTACTATCATCTGGAAGAAGCATTCATTCGTGGGCCCTTTCATGTATATTAGCCTTCTTCAACCCGAGTGTCTCCAGAGGTTTTGGCCCCTTAAGTCCCAACCGGAATAGTCAATACCTAGAGTGGATGGAAGCTGTCGTCTATAAATACTTCAAGAAGCAAAGACTGGGGAAAGCCTGATGTATACTTCTAATCGAATATCAAGCACTTTTAACAACTACTGATTTTAACAGAAACACCTGTGCTTCAATTTGTCCTACATTAACCAAAACTTTATAATTAAAACTTTATAATTACCCCCCCCCCCCAAAAAAAAACCCAATTGAGTTATCACAACTATCTAGTTACTTTCACTCTGGAAGCAAGGGTTTGAGTGTTGGACTAGAATTTCAGGGGGTCCCACTCAGCTATTAACATCTGCTAGGTGACCTTGGGCAAGACATACTTTCCCAACCTTAGGAAGAGACAATGTGAAAGATCTGAATGCATTTTGGCAGGAAAGCCCTACAATATGACCGCCATAGAAGGCACAAAACAACAACAACAACATGGTCAAGCTTTGTGACAGGCTTTTTGATTCAGAGCAGAACTTGCGTTACTTAATTATGCTTAAAATAAACTAAGACATGACTGCATAGTATAATGTGCCTAAAACAATGACTTGGATAATTCTCATGTTCGATTCAACACCCGCAATGGCTGAATTCAAGATTATGTATAGGACCAACTGACAGCTACAACAGCTCAAAAACCAAAGCCATAAACATTATTAACTGGAATGAGTTCTTCCTACGTACACATTTTAAGAGATGAACAGGCTCAGTTGCTCAGATATAGTCATTTCTATCATGGCAGATGGGCTTTGTACCATTACTGGGATTATTCTTATGATACCATCATTATTATCTATTACTATTTCTAAGCCAGGTAATAGGCAGCTATAAATAAATGCGTAAGTGGCATAGAAATTTCCCCAAAGACAAATTTAAACAATATCTCCCATCTAGGAATTTAAGATTGTCTGAGGAGGCCCTGCTCTCGATCCCGCCTTTTTCGCAGGTGCGCCCGGCAGGGACGAGAGACATGGCCTTCTCAGTGCTGGCCCCTCGGCTGTAGAACTTCCTCCCTAGGGATATTAGATCAGCCCTCTACCTCCTGACTATTCGAAAAAAAGTAAAAACCTGGCTCTTAGAACAAGCCTTTGGAAATGCAGTGCAATAGACAAACACTGAATTATGTAAGTTTGAAGCATGGAATGGCTTAGACGATGAAACTAGAAAATGAGATTAACAAAAAGATATTGATTATTACATTTTAATGGGTTTTATATTGTTTTTATAATGTTTTAAATGTTTTAATTGTATATTGTGGACTGTTATGGCATTGGATGGCTGCCAATTTGTAAACCGCCTTTAGAAGCCTTCGGGCTTAAGAAAGGGGAAATAAAAATATCATAAATAATAAATAAAATACTTTTTCTTTTAATTTGTTGTTATATGCTGGGTTATTATTTTTTCCTATTATGTATGTATTGGTTGTTGTATTCAGTCACTGAATGTTTGCCTTTTTGTGACTGAAATCTGCCCCGAGTCCCTTCAGGGAGATACAGCAGAATATAAATAAAGTTGTTTATTATTATTATTACGATTATATTCAACTCAACAGAATTTAATATAAAGAGTTTTGTGTTTCTGTGACTCCTCAACTGAAGGACTAGAAACTGCTAATCCTACTAAGCACATTCAAAATCTGGAACTAGAAGCAACATTGGTCATGTAGAACAGTTTCTCAAGGCAGTCTCCAAGTATCTTTTGCCACAACCAAGCATGAGCATTTCCAAAAACCCACTAAAAACAGATGTATTTTCCCATAAAATCCAGAAGACAGGTATGTTGGAAAGCCCAAGTCACATTGAGCAATATTCTGTATTCTATTGTGGTACCAACTCCCATGCAGACTCAGCAAGAATGTCATTCATCCATGTTCAGATTGCTAGCCGAATGAACCTTCCCATGTAGTTGATGCCTTATAAAGTAGGCTTGGGAGAGTTATGATCTTTCAGTAATGTCAAAATTGTGATTAAGTAGCAATGGTGAATTCATAAGATTTACTCATTCATTAAACATATTTAACTAGGGAGAGATTACCACACTATACTGTTAAAGTGCTGTAATTCCATTTTATCTGCTATGGCTGCCTCATGTGGAATCCTGGGATTTGCAGTTTTGGGAAGGGCCTTTAAAAAAGTTCTCTAGGTAGTATTTTTTCTTTCTTCTTTTAACCTTGTTTCCTTACAATCTGAGAATTATGAACTACGCATGTGATAAATGAGAGAATAAATTCTTACCAACATCCATGGCAGTCTCCATAAAGCTTTTCTGTCTTGATGCAAATTCAGCCAATAATTTTTGTTGTCTTTCCCTGGCCTTCTGCCGCCTAGGTAAAAGAAAGGAAGGCAGGCAATTACGGAACACATTTATTCCTAAAATCTGTGTTTAGAATGGATTACAGCAAACTCTTAGATGTGTTCTAAAATCAGAAATGTTGTTTGTGCCACACTATATCAAAAGTTGATATTTTGAGAATAAAAGTGTGGACTCTTGCTTTTGGTAATGCAATGCCAGCAAATGACACTGCTGCCACACAATCAACTGGGAGTGGGTAACTTAAAAACATAATGGCTGAGGATCCTGCATTGAAAAACATAAATATGACATTTGAGTTACGCTGTTATAATCACACCTCCTGACACTGCCACCCAAAAGAAGGATTTCAGGAAGGCATGATGCAACAAGCAGCCATCCCTCACTGCTTGGATATATCATTGCTTAGTATGCCAATCTCTAGTATATTGGAAATCCTTCTTTTGCAGGGGTTAAACCTTATATGAGCTCATCTACATTACTAAAAACCTTACCAATATACATATATTCCCAGTGAGAAAAGAACACAAATTTAATTCAGAAGTAGTCCCAGAAGATTCAATTACTTTCTAGTTCTGTGCTCTAACAGGTAAAGTTAATCAGCAACTTAAAACATATCTCTATAGAACAGCTATGTATATGTAAGTAGCTCAAGGGATTCTAGGGGTACAATGTATTATGTATTTATTTACTTCATTTATATACCACTTTTCTCAGCCCTTGGGCGACTCAAAGTGATTAACAATAGCAAAATTCAATGCTCAACATCATAAAAACAGTTAAAAAACAATTAAAACAATGACATAATAAATAATCAATTAAACATAACTATAACATCTCATTAGCGTCTCATAGGTAGAATCAAGTTCCAATCTCATAATCTGTTGTTCCATATTCCTATATTTAATACACTGCCTATTCAAATGCCTGCTTGAATAACCAGGTCTTCACTTTCCTCCGAAATGCTAATAGGGAGGGGGCCGATCTAATTTCTGTAAGGAGCCACCACTGAGAAGGCCCTGTCTCTTGTCCCATACTTGTGATGCAGGCGGGACCGAGAGCAGGGCCTCCCCAGATGATCTTAATGTCCTAACGAGTTCATAGGATCGCCATTTGCTAGTCATTTTTCATTTGCCATTGTATCAAATGTGTTGCAATCTTGCTGTCAAGCACAGAAAATGACAACAGCACTTGGTGTCTATGTACTGTTTCATATAGAGAATTACTATAATAATCTTGTAAACCTGATCATTATCATTATGCCACTACTACTTCAAATGAATTGGCAAATAGAGGGCTAAACCCATCTAGCCATTTGAACCACATGATTCCAAAGACACAGCTGAAACTCCTCAACTACAACACTATATCATCTGTAGCATTTACAATAAGAGCAACCACATTCCTGCAAATAAACCATATAAGCTTACTTAAAAAGAGAAATGATATATGCAATAATGTTCAGTGTGATGGACACAATCAAAGGGCTAAACCACTTGTAAGAGATGAGAAATATCAAAATGTCAGTAACCAGAATAATGTATTTAGATTTCTACATAGTTACATAAATGTTCTATGCAATGCAGTTATGTTTTTAAAAGGCCATACACTTGCTGCATTGAATCAAGAAAACAACCTTGTAGATCTTCCAAGGATAGCAAATATTCAGCTTATGTAATTTTAACATCCCTTACACAAAAGCATCACCATATAACAAGGGAGGATGAGTACAGAGTTCAGCACAGTTTAGTTCCATCTAGGCATGATGCATCAAGGATGCAGCTTTCATAATAGTGGTTTTTCTCCAGGGAATCTCTTTTTGCTATGCTATTGCTAAACCGGGTAACTGTAAATAGAGACCCTTAATAAGGAGACATAAACAAACTGACAGATTCAGTACAGCTCAGTAACCTCCTGCAATGGCCCATGGGGTTCTTCCCAGAGACGGGAAAATATTGCAAAGCAGCACTGCTAAATTCTTTTTTGCTCTATGCCTTAGTTTCTATGGCAACGGCTTATGTGGGTGATGCCAAGTTTGCCTTTGTAAGATGAAGAAACTAGAAAATAGGTCATCCTCAAGTGCTCACAGCCTGTTCCGTCTTTATTGCTGCAAACATGTATTTTGCTACTCTCCAAACCGAGGCCAGGCAAAATGGCTTAATTACCCATGTAAAGGCTTCTACATTTTGGACTTGCAAAAAAATGAACTGGTATTGAGTCGGCCGCATCTTCCTGCATCTTAACTAGAAGTCTCCTGAAGAGGGAAAAAGGTGGATATTGGCAGAGCAAATAGCCTCTCCCATTCAGGAAAATGACTCTGCAATGAAGTCCTGCTGTGCCCCACCCTCTGGTGCAAAACCAGTTTCACTTGCAGTAAAAACAACCACCAATAAAACTTGGAAGGAAACAGGGAAGGGTGGAATCAAACAACCAAGAGAAAGAGCTATGTAATCTATGTACATTGAAGGAAAACAGAACAAGAAGGGAAGCTACTGAACACTAATGGATTCAGAAGTGACTTGCACACTGGTTTAAAAAGAATTGTGGGGTGTATTGGTACAATTTATGCTGCTGCCAGAAGGAGTGGGGTTATCACAAAAAGCTACTCAGCTCTTGAACACTCTGTGGTTGGGTCTGCACAGGATTGAGACCCATGTATATGAGGTTGACGGTTCTAATCTGGGAAGTGGGGTGAGCTCTCGCTGTTAGGCCCAACTTCTACCAACCTAGCAGTTGAAAACATGCAAATGTGAGTAGATCAATAGGTACGACTCCAGCAAAAATGTAGCAGCGCTCTATGCAGTCATGCCGGCCACATGATCTTGGAGGCATCTGCTGGTAACACCGGCTTAGAAATGGAGATGAGCAGCACCTCCCAGAATTGGATACAACAGACTTAATGTTAAGGGGAAACCTTTACCTTTTTATAGGAGGCACAGAGAGCATGAAGATGCACAATTTCTTGTTACATCATGAATGATATTTAGAACCCCTGCAGGAGATGTGGGATGAGAGAGAGAGGATACAGTCCTCTTTCCCACAGCAGCATGATCAATAGGTACTACTCCAGCATGTCCAAAAGAATTGCAGCATAGGTCCCTCTAACACAGTGGTTCCCAACCTTTGGTCCTCCAGTTGTTTTGGACTTCAACTCCCAGAAATCCCAGCCAGGTTTCCAGCTGTTAAGAATGGTGCGAACTGAAGTCCAAAACACCTGGAGGACCAAAGGTTGGGAACCACTGCTCTAACATACCTGGTGCATTTTAAAGTCATCTTGACAGTGAAGAATAAAGCCATACTACAATAATTCCCACAGGGCAAAAGGGGCACATTCTGATTTATAAGTTTGTGGGTGGAAAAAGGAAGTTTCTCCCCAATCTCACAATAAATTACCTTTCTTCTTTGTCCAAGGTTTTCTTCTCTGCTGGACTAATCTTTTTAGGTGGCACAGGTGGAGTCACTTTTCTACATATGTCCTCAATGATATGTTTGTTTAACCTGCTCTGAAGTGCAGCTTTCAACAAAATCCTTTCTACAGCAGTCATTCCATCTCCATGTAAATATTTTGGATTTTCATGTTGAATTAAAGTTTCCATGTCATCCAGCCAGGGAGGAAAGTAAGAGTTTTGCTTTCCTGACAGTTTATGGTGAAGCTTGATTAGCAAAGACAATATGCTTTCCTTGACTTCTAAAATGGCTGTTGTCAGCTGGGGTGTTGCACCTGGAGCAGACCATTTCATTGAAGTCTTGGGCCGAACTGCCTGGTTGGCTTCTGTAGTATTCCGGTTAATGATCTCCTGAAATTTCTTCCTGCGTTCGGCAACCAAACTGAACACTTGTGCAGTCCCTGAATTCTTTAAGAAAAACAAGAAAATTGCATTAGGAACAGAAATAAATGAATATTAGTGCAAAATGCATCAAGCAGTGAGGGACAGCATTGGAAGAGACCACAAGGAAAATCCAGACATCAACATCTATCAAAATGTTATAGGCAAGTATTGCTTGATCCTCCAGAAAAAATTAAAATAAATTGCAATTAGGAAGATGATAAACAGGCCCCATGCAAGGGAGTTGGCTGCACTTTCCTGTGAGCTGCAATGCTATTATAAAGAAAGGGAAATCAGTCAACTTCAGATCATACTTGAATATGTTTAGGGACACTTGTTTCCATGAATCCATGGTCCCTATTGTTGAGATATTCTGAGATTAGCTGGGGATAATCAGATTAAACAGCATTCTGAAACCAAGTTGCTGCTGAAGACCCTTCTCATTTGAACAAGGCCTTTGTTATTAAACATTTAACATCCAGCTTACCTGTCCAAACACATTTCCCTTTATGAGCCAGTTAGAACACTAAGATCGGCCGGGGAGGTCCTGCTCTCGGTCCCACTGCCTTCGCAGGTGCGATTGGCAGGGATGAGAGACAGGGCCTTCTCAGTGGTGGGCCCTCGGCTGTGGAACTCCCTCCCCATCGAGATTACATCATCCCCCTCCCTCCTAGAGTTTACGAAACAACTTAAAACTTGGGTATTCAAGCAAATATTTAGTGAATGATAGAAATATGGAAGTAGTTAAAGACAACCTCAGGATTGATGCAAGGTCTACATGTTTTAGGTTGTGTCTGTGTTTGTTGTTTTTATAGTTTTATAGTTTTAATGCTTTTAATCTACAGTCATATGTTGTTGATTTGATATATAGTAAATAAAATAAATAAATTAATAAATTAATAAATATGTGATGTGTTTTATATATGTGAGGCATTGAATTTTGCCACTGATTATGTTGTAAATCGCTTTGAGTCCCCCCAGGGGTGAGAAAAGTGGTATAAAATGCAATAAATAAATTGTATAAAACAAAAGATAACATAGCCATCTTAAAAGCAATTCCATTATACAAATCTACAGCCTTCCAGATACTGTTGAACTCTCCTACTGAGAAAGCAAGGGTTTAGCTCTTAGGCCCATCTTTGTCACTGAAGGATGAAGCTTACTTTATGGTGAGAAATACTGGGAATATTTATCCAACAACATCCAGAGAGACCTAAAATCCTGGGCATCTGATTCAAATGAACTAGACTCCCATTTGTTTACCAGGTAATGCAAATAGGAGCAGAACACAGAACCATGGGCTTCAGTTAAGCCCCATGCAATAAAACATGGCTTATGAAGAAGCAGGCTTCTGTCTGAAAATGATCAAAATGCAGTTTATTTTGCCCATTATGTCCTTGTCCCCTACCCCTCATCCAAATATCCTATTCATGAGCAACTAAGCTCATGGAAACTCTCAGCACGACTTTTTATCATTAGCTAACTGGTGGTAGAACCAGGATGAGGAACATCATCCTCAGAGGTCTTCCATGGCATCTGACCAAATCCTAGTTCTATAACTTCTGTTAGCTATTTCTTCCACAATACTTAAATAACTAAAGTGATCTGAAGGACTATCTTCCCTATATCAATCTGCCTATACTTTGAGGTCACTGCCAGAGGAAGGCAGGTTGACAACTGCCATGGCACCATGCTTCTGGTTCGGATTGCTATTCCAATGTCTCAAGACTTCTTCCAAAACCCTTCTGTGAAGCTTTAAAGACCCATCTATTCCCACTGGCTCTTTTCTAAATAATAACATTTGGATGGTGTCTTTATAGTTTTAATTTTTGTACTCATGGATTAAACTTCAATTTTTATTGCTGTTGTTTTAAAACTTAACAAAACAAATGAAAAACCAAGTTATCTTGGATCTGAAAACTCCATTTTATAGTATGTGTGCCTCATGACACTAACAATTCTCTATCATGATGAATGTGAATGCATTATTTCAGCTCTGTCTTCAAAAAGCTAAACAACTAAATTAGGATGTTTACGTTCCATTTAACATTTTTCTTTAAAATAGCCTTGAGTCTAATGAAATACAAAAGCAGTGTATATTTGATCTAGTATATGAAAATGAGCCATCATTCCACCCAAACAGGCAGCAACCCCATTACAAATTGACTATAAATCATTTAAACAAGTTAATTATGTGCTCACAAAGATGACTCTAGCAACCATTTATCATTCCTTTTTTTTTTACAAAACTAAAGCTTATTGAGAATGAGATAGCTAAACATCAGTATTATTAAAGGTTAGAAACAACTGTAGCATAAAGTCACACATATTCAAACAAAGCCAGCCAGTATTTATTTCACTAAGAGGCAAGCAAAAAAATCACCCTTGGCAGATGGCACAATGAATTTGGAATTTGCTGTTGTTCAGACAGGTTATAAGGCAATATACTTTTTTACAAATCTGCAAAAATGATGGCGTAACAGTAAAATATTCTTCCAAGACTGATGAACTGCAATGTAGTTAGGTCCAGCACAATTAAAGCCATACTGTCATTAGATACACAAGCTACATATAGTGTCGTTAGAATACAAATACCTCTCTCTGAAGTCCTTTAGAGTGCCTTGGACTCTGGTAAGTTGGAAGGAAAAGGAGGATATGAAAAACCCCTAAGAACCACAGTATCATACAGATATTATTTCTAGTAAAGTTTAACCTCATACAAGCAAAAAAACTTAAAGTCAACATGGACAAAACAGTCAACATTGACTAAAGAGATCTTGAACCATTACAATGGTAACTCTCACCTGAGAAGCTCCTGAGCCATCAGAACTTGTACTTGCAGGCGGTTCTCTTTTCACCTCTGGAGCGGTCTCTGGCACTCTTACACGCACATAGTTAATAAAGTGTCTCATGTTAGACACCAAGTTATTGCCTGGAAACCAGCTATCATGGCAGCGTTCCTGACCTACCCCAGCATCCTGGTGTGCCAACACACAAAACAAAAAACTCAGTAAGATACAGTTTGCAGAATCCACACAAGTGCATTGAAAATATAGCTAAAAATGCCTGAGCATCTCAAGAAGAGCTAACTTGTGCCAAAATCAACTTGTTCAAAAAATGCACGAGAAAAAGAACTCTCTTTTAAGAAACATAATACATTTAACAATAAAAAGAACTACATACTTGAATGACAGCCTCACTGTGTTCACTTGAAATTATTCTTAAGAAAGGCTGAAGATGACTGTTTCCTTAATATTTACTGACTCTTATGAGGCTGCATCTACATTGATCATTTAATGCAGTTTCAAACCATAAATTGGTTTGGCTGTGCAGGTGATTACATAGGTTCCCCTAGAACCAGTTTGAGGCCCCGATGGTGATGCCACAAACCACAAAAACTGATGCAGATTAAGTGCTTTCTTTAGCACACTTTTGTGGAAGATGGTTGTCTGGTCTTCACAGTTTGAAGCTAGCTTTGAAATGCATGAAATGGTCAGGGTAGATGGGACATAAGGCAGTCAATACAATGCACTTCATTTTTCACACATTATTTCAGTAATTATGACAATAAGCCCAGTTAAATGTAATAATATAAGTACACTGCACTGTGTAAAACACTGTGTCTTACTCAGCAAACGCTGAGCAATAGTTTGCCTAAAGCCACCCAATAATCTGATAACTGAGTCAGGACTTCACGGCTCACAACTTCAGACTATTTTTAAGCTGTCAGATTTTCCCACAGATATGAACAAAGTAAATAATTAAAATATAGCTGGAACTAGTAACACAGGACACATGCCTCACCAAATGGTATAAAAACGTTGGCATTGGCACTTACTTCTTCATCCGATTCTAGGTCTGACGAGTTCTCTAGTCCAAGTTCAATCAGATATAAAACCATGCAAAGGACATGTTCTGACAGGTTTTGATGGTCCATTAGTATCTAAAACAAAATATATATTACTTTCTTACCCTGCCTCCAAATGTTTCCACATTAGATTTCAGAGAAACAAAATAAGAATATTTGTCTACCTTATATCATTATCACCCTGCCTTAATGAACAATATTGATAAAAAGTGGCCTTCTGGTTCAGAATAAACTACAAAAACATACAAATATCTGCCAGATACAGTGCTAAAATCTCAAAGTTGTATACCAGTTTTTAACATTCTCATTTCCTTCAGTAATTTAGTTTAAGCTTATATAACTGAAAATGAAAGCACTATAAAATGCCATGATAAAGCAATACAGGATTAAATAGTGCACCAAACTATTCTAAAATGTATTCCATGTTCATTTTTTAAACCAGACTTTGGATAGTGACAATCCTCCACCTTTATTTCTGAATTACTCTTTTCACTTGCAAAAACAGTCAGCCATCCACGTTTGTTGGGGTTAGGGAACACAGGATCTCCACAAAAGTGGAAAAACCATGAATAAAAAATGCTACTTTTTAATGGAAGAGAACACCACTTTAGCTCCCCTCCGCCCCCTCCAGTGCAATGCTGTGATCCACTTCTGCCAGAGGTTGACCATAGAGAAGTGCTTAAGAACTCTGAGATTCCTAAGGAGGTGTTTTTCTAGGAATCTAGGTTCTCAAGCACAATAGTAAGGTAAACGTTTAGCAGAAGCTGACCTAGAGCTTCCTAGATAGACCACATTAATCAAATCTGTGAATAAACAAATCCACAAAAGTTACGCTTGCAAAAGCTTGCAAAAGGGAAGAAACCACAAAGAATCATTATTGCTAATACATTTTAAAAACCACATCTTTCATAAAATGTAATTGTAGAAAGTAAGGGTTTAAGGAATACAACTCAAAGACTATTTAACAGTACCTTGTAGAGCAGAGTGAATAATACAATGTGTAAAGTTTTGCAGTGCAAAAGTCTCATGAGTCCTTTATAGCTGGGATGCAAAACCGTGCGTTTCTTGTAAGGAGGCCAAGGATTTCCGTGAACTTTCCCACTTTGCTTTAAACTGGGAAAGGAAAGGAAAAAAAAGACAAATACAAATTAGATGTCAAGGAAACTAGAGGATGTGCCCTCCTCCCATTCTATTCCCTTCTCCTCCTGACCACAAAGGTAAGCAAGCCAGGCCCAGCCACTCCACCAGTAACACTGGTCTTATCAAATTCCTTGTTAAAACGGCATAAGGGAGTGGCAAATACAGTGATTTCAGTATAATCAAATCCATGAATGCTTAACCTGAAAATATAAAAGGCCAACTCAACTTAAGCTTTTCATTTTTAAAAAGACACTTCACCATCTCCCATTCCAAATGGGAAGGCATTTTATGCTACCATTGCAAAATAGTACAACAGTATTCACTTTTTCTGATGCAAAATATATTCAACTTACAATGCTGTGTATCTGTCCATTGCTGATTGCACATCTCTGCGATAAACTGTTCGAAGGATTACCATAACTGGGTCAAATTCCTGATCCCAAACTTCAGCTATTTTTATAGAAATAAAATGTAATTATTATTAGCTTCTAAAATGTATTCCAAATTCATTTTTAAAACCAGATTTTTCCCAACAGACCAGTTTTGTTCAGTAACAACAGACCAATTTTGTGTAAACTTTCTTACAAACACTGATATAAGTGTTCTCAATAATAATTAGCTTGAACAATGAAACTGCTTGTTGAAATAATTAATTGGGGCAAACCAAGTTCTTATTTGCCTGAATGTCAGTTTAATTCCCTATACATTTTAGGATAATTTGCTTCTATCTTGATCACTGAAACACTTAAACATTTAAATTGAAGAACTGAGGAAGAGGTTTCCACATTGTAAAATGCAAACAAAATAAGGAATATAATGAACACTATCTCATTGATCATACTGCATGTGTTGCACAGACACCCTTGTAGAACAGAACGTACCTTTAGGTGTATACATCCCTTGCTGCATGGAGCCCCCTGGTTCAAACACAGGTGCTTTGAAATCAGCCACAGCTGACAACATCGACTCAAAACTTAAGCTTCCAGGAATAATACCACTTTTGGGGTTAGGGTTTTCTGGAATGTGATGTTTTTGTTAAGATAAATATTCATTATTATGATAATCTCTTCAGCAGCAAGATTCCCATGTATCTATTTGATTATTTTTATATAGCCTTAGGACCGCTGCAACTATTTAATTTTACCACAAGAGGTCGATACTGTACAGTCAATCCCTTTCATGCAAAGATTTTAAACTTTAATGCCAAACTTTTCCTTGGAGGCGGTTATCAATTTTATAAATGGTTTATTACTCTTTTAAATATACAACCCAAGACTTTGACTGATCTACTCTGGCAAGTAATGCAGTTTGAACTACATTAAACTGCATAATATGGGTCTATACTAACCACATAATACAGTTCAAACTGCATTTTTGACAGTGTAGATCCAGTCTATGGGATTACAAAGAACAATTATTCATAATCATAAACCTATTAAAATTAAATTGCTTCATATTTCAAAAAGACATAACTGCACGAAATGGAATGTAATTGTATATATACTATACTCTGTGGTATTACTAATCCATTTTAATGCATACTACACTGGATTCACTGTAATAACAAGAAAACGAACAGCCTGCAGCTATCCTCAACTATTCAGTTTGTTTTATATAGTTCACTTTTTGGTTGGGATCTGAAAAACAAAACTCATTTCACCTCTAAACGGGGAATATTATAACACTAATCTGCACCTTCCAGCATCACATTATATATTACAAGTTTAAAAGAAATTTAAATGTCAACTTCAAATAAACAATCCAGACATAATGCCCAGTTTCCCTCAGTGGGGAAAAAGCATCATTTTAAATCCCATGTTCCTGTTTAAGAAATAGAATGTGATTGAAAAGCGGTAGGGAGGTGATGGTGTATATTGCTAAACCAAAGGTATCATTTATTTGATTTTTAAGCTTCCTCTAAACAAGGTTATACACAAAAATATATTTATTTCATGCTGCAAAAAAGATACTGTATTTTGCCAAAGTGTTTAAACTTCTGATATAACTTCCTACAGTGCAAAACTGTCATCAATAACTTCATTGATAATAATAACATTTTATTTATAACCCACCCTTTCTCCCCAAAGGGACTCATGATGAAATGAAAGAACAGTATGCCAATAAAATAAACATATATCAAAAATGGATCAAATGCATTTTAAGGATATGAGATCCAGTAATGAGCTGTGAGTCCTGTCATTCATGCAGAGCTGAGCCACCATTTCTGCCCTCAGAATCTCATCATCAGTCATTCCTAGAATAATTGAATAGCACATTAACATAATGTAAAACCATCTAACATTAAGACAGAAAGTAGAGCTGTTTCTAATTAGAAATTCATTACGAATATTTTAAACATGTACATATTATGACTGAATATCTTCGAGACGTTGGCTTGCAAATTCGCAGGGCATCTATGCCCTATTCAGCAGATGAGCTATACAAGAAAACTGTTAGTAAATAATTTTTGTTACTGTTTTGTCACCATTCCTCTCCAAACACTGCAAATAACATTCAGGCTGTGTTGCTGAAAGCTTTCATGGCCAGAATCACTGGGTTGCTACAAGTTTTCCGGGCTGTATAGCCATGTTCTGGAAACATTCTCTTCTGACATTTCACTCACATCTATGGTCGGACCTCACAACCTCTGAGGATGCCTGACATAGGTGTGGGTGAAACATCAGGAGAGAATGCTTCCGGAACATGGCCATACAGCCTAGAAAACTCACAGCAACCCAACACTCAGGCTCTCTAGGTTTCTGTGATCATGCATATCTAGAAATTATTAAAAGTTAATTATCCCTTATCCATAATGCTTGAGACAAGACTTTTTTGAATTTTGATTTTTTAATTATTATTTTGGAGTACCTGTTATTTGTTTTTTCATACACAATGAGATTCCTTGGAGATGGGACACAATTCTAAACATGACATTAATTTTAGTTTTCATATATACCATATTCACATAGCCTGAAGGTAATTTTATTTTTTTATCATTTTCTGTGTGAAACACTGAAAGCAAAAATGAACAATTTTGGAGAATTTTGGATTTTACAATTCTGAATAAAGGATGCTTCAGGTGTGCAATTAAAGTAGGAGCGAGTCTTACCCAAGTGTAATCGGAGACTTAAAAGAATGACAAGAAATGTCAAAGCGCCTTCTAACATTGACCTCTCATGTTCTGAATCTAGGACAGTATTCTGATGTTGTGAAGCCATTGTTAAGAGGTCAACCACTTTGAACCTATAGGTAGGAAGAAATAAAATTAATAAAATTGGTTACTGTGAACAATGGCTGTTAGGAATTATGGGAACTGAAATCCAAAACCCCTGGAGGGCCAAATTTTGTCAAACCCTGCTCTAAATAGTACTCTAAGATATATTTGTATAATCTAGAGACTAAACCCTTATTCCTATAAATGTTAAATGGGAAGTTCCTTTTAAAACATTATACATCAAAATTAGATATTAAAATAATACTAACAACAAGCAGAGCACACTCATTAGCATGGAGCAAAATGATTCCATTGAAATTACGAGGAATTCCAGCATAGAGTGATTCTGCCATCCACTAAAGGCACATTTCTTTCTCCAGCTGTTTTTCCTGATTACTTCCTAATTATTAACATTATTATTTACCTCTACTTTTAATGAATTGTTTTATTGCTCTTACAGTTTCAGCAATGTGTCTTCAACTGTATCTTTTTTATCATTAACCACTTTGGAGTATTTGCAATGAAAAGTTATATTAAATGTTTATTCATATATCATAAAAATAATGAGTTGCAACTTCATGGCCTTTTTCTTTTCACTGCTTTTTCAAAATGTAATTTACATTTTTTAAATTTAAAAAATAACATGCATTAACTCACCTTTCAAAAACTGAGGAAATAAAATAGTCTGGGTCAAGTCTAGATGCGCAGATCTGTTTTTCAAAAAAGCACAATATGTAGGTTAGTTGTCACTGTTCAGCAATCTACTGACGTAGAGCAGATGAGGTCACAAAAATTACTGACCTACCTGTAACAGATAAATGTCAGGATCAATCATGGAATTACAGAAGTGAGACTGGACATATGTCATGGCTTGTCCTTTAATCTGCAGACCATTCCTCACCCACATATTACTATGGATTTCAGAAAGGCTTGCCTAGGGGGGAAAGCAGATTTTTTTTTAATTTTTGGCTTTGAGAAGTTATTGCCAAATGCAATCAATTGTTTGAGTGTGCCATCTATATTTCGCTTATTTTTAAATAGGGGAAAGGCTTAGAAACCCTCCCCCCCTCCCTCTTTTTAGCATGTTAACAGTGTTTTTCCAGAATGTTTCAATCAATACTGATATATTTAACTTCTGAGATACCATAACCTAAAGAAATTAAAATATTACTTCCACTCCCTTGTCCTTCACAAATAATTACAGCAGATGTAATCCAGGGAAATCTCAAATATGTCAGAGAACTGGATGTTTTCAGTGTAGCCAGTGATAAATTGTTCCATGGGATCCAGATGCATTTTGTTAAAGTTGCAGTTCCGATTCTTAACCTTTTTCTGTGTTTCTTATTTCTGTATTGCCATGCCACTACAAAACAGGATAAGTGAGCAATATCTCTCATTAAAACCCTTAAAGAAACTCAGAAAATATTAATAAAAATCCTCTTATGAAAGACTGCAAATAATTGGTATAGCTATATGTCTGTACACCACACACTAAAACACTGAGGTTCTCATCAACTGATCAGACATTCAGCTGCAAATAAGTGAATGTTAGGTAATTCTGATTGTTTTATCAATTCCGGCAATTTTACAAAAATGTTCACAGTATATTTAAACCAAAACAGCAAAGTTACCTGAATCTGGAGTGGATGAACCATTAGCTTCATCAACATCTCTTGGTCAGGAAGAAGAGAATCCAGGTCCAGTTCTTGGCATTTAACAGCCTATAAAAAAAACCAAGAACACATTCACTGGACACAAACTACAACTCTACATAAACAACGTCCCTTTTCTCCCCCCCAAAAAATGAGCCTACCTTACTCAGAAACATTGCATAGTAACGATGCAATGGCAAATGGAAAGTGACTTGATTAGGTGTAGGCTACAATGAAAAGAGAAGTAATTTACCATCAAAAATGAATAAGCTATCCTTGCGGTATTAAACTGCTTCATGCATTCTTTCCTCTAGAGTCTAGATTAAAGAGGAACTCAGAATATCACATAAGAAATTTTCATAAGGGTTTACTGAATTTCTGCCCCATGGTGTTTGAGACCCACATCATCTCATTGCAACTATCCCAAAACACATATCCAAATAACTTAAAAAGCAGAGTCAAGCTATAGAGCTGATTCCACAAGGTGGAAGAGAAAATACAGGTGTGAAAAATATTCTCGTCAGTTTTGATGAAGGCAGTTTAAGAATCCTGGTAATCATTTTTCTTATCCCAAATATAAGCATCTTTTTGCACCCGTAGCCAATGTAACACGAGACACTGTATCTTCCAAAATGTCCATGCAACACTAAAATCCTCTGCGCTTGCAACTATAGCAAATAGCAAGTATTACACTAGTTAAGAAGAACCTTAAAAAGTTCTACTTCCACTTAAAATGTATACTGATTTATGAGAGTATGTGTTCATCTGTCTGTTTTTGCCACAGTTTCAAAACCACAAACCTTTGAAACTTGGCCTGCATACTAAGAACACTTTAGGCATGTGCAAGTCTGAGCTACTGGGGTTTTTCTTTCACCAGAGGAATGCATTTTAGCAAATTTAAATCATCTGTAGAGTTGTGTGCCATCTATGTGTACTAGGAGGTTGATGTTCCTAGACATCAAAAAGGAAGCTGCCATCAGGCCTGCCACATCGGTTCCTCCAGAGCACCTCTGATCAACTCTACATGATCCAGAGGCACAACAAAGAAACAACATGCAGGCAGAGCTAATGCTTCCTTCTTCAAACCCCTCAAAATCTATGAAAAGTAAGAGGACATAAACTAAGGAGTGCTATATGCAGGTATGGGAAGCACCAGGGTGAAAGAAAGGCTGAAAAATTATCAAACAAAACCAGAGGAGAGAGAATGGATTATTCGGAACAGAGGGAAAAGGAAAGAGCACTGGGGCAAGGAGAGAAAAACAGGAAGATAGGTGACTGACCATACAGAAAGGGCACTTACAGGAACAGTAGAGAGAGCATCAGTGCAAGGGGTGAGGGACTAAGGGACTTCTAATGTGTGGAAGGGGGTACATCTAAGCAAATATAAAATCTTTCAGAACTCACAACAAAAGTGAAGAATTTAAGAACACAACATAGACCATTTTCTAATAAACAGTTCCCAAATGGAGCCACCATAGGAAAACACACTCCTCCTATGCTTAACCTTTGTGAGCGCACAAAAAAATCCAAAGCATATGAATGTGTGTAGTCAGGATTTTTGTCTTATTTTAATTAGAAAGATGATATGAAGACACTTCCCATCTAACCTACAATACCAGGTTTAATAATGAGATGCACATACCTCATCTACAAAGTTGATTGCATCAAACCAATCCTGAAGTGCTTCCAGACAGTATCTAACAACGTTTCGTGTGTATTCTTGTGTCTCCTGAAAAAGGATATGAAATGTTACAGAAATTGAAACAATACTTGTTCTCAGCTATTACAGTAACAGACAAGTTGGGGCTTCTCACATTTTCCTTGTCTCTAAAACACAATTTAGAAAATAACAGTGTCTATTACACATCAAGTAATAATTCTTAGAAAAAAAATTGGATAATTAAAGATATGGTTGTTATATTTTGTTTCACTGTTAAAAAAAAAAAGATGAGAAGGAATCTAATGGCACCAAAGTACTCGATTCCTTCCTCAGCTTCCTTTTTATGCTGTACAATTGTAGTGGTTCCCAGCCTTTGGTCCTCCAAGTATTTTGGACTTCTTGACAATGGGCCAAGTTGGCTGGAGCTTCCGGGAGCTGAAATTTCAAAAACCCGGAGTACCAAAGGTTGGGAACCACTGATATAGAGAGTCATTCAGATAGAATCAGCAGTCCTCACTAGCAAATGGCAAAATGCATCAACCAAAAGACTAGATTTAATACCTAGAGAATTGTCTGATTTGTAATTTTACCCCCCAAATCAAATACTCTAATCATTTTTGGGGGCATGCTTGGGGTCTTGCATACTTCACTCTCTGCTTTCCTGTTTTGGAGAGATAATGGTGGGTATGTAAGCTAGAAAATTTCTTTTAGGAGGAAAAAATGCTTTCCTAGATGCTATGAGACAAAATTTACTTTTTAATTCAAAGTTCCCTTGGTTATCTTTCTCCACTCTGGTGAGGGAATAAGAATAGTACCATACAATCCCAAGGCTTTGTCTAATCTCAGCCCATGTTTAACCCCAAAGTCTCAGAACAGTACCATACAATCCCAGTACCATACAATTAGGGGTATACTTTATTGAAATATCACTGTATTTCAATATTGGGGGTGGGATTAGAACAATCAAATCTGATAACAAAGTCAAGGAAAAAAACTAATGCTGACAAGCTTTTTTACCAATTTTAATCACATTCTATGCTGTCACATAAAGAAAAAAGTATTTTTCTAATTTTATTTACCCAAAAGAAAAAATGCTTTCGTGATATTATTTCTGTATCACAGCCTGTATCTGTATTTTTGCATTACATTGCTAGGAAGATATTTTTTTTAAAAAAAATTTTAATTATTTTTATTTTACCAAAAATAAGTAAGTACTCTACTAACTTCTACAAATTATCAACTAAGTGCCTGAAAACACTTCTCAGTAATTGGATAGCATATTTTTGATTGATTGAGTGAGTGAATTTATGTCCCACCTTTTGCACAAAGTGAGAACCAAGTTGGCTTATGAATACCATGGCGCTATTAATCGCCTTAAGCCTTCATTACAAATAAGTCCTGTTTTGCCTAACAATGCTAGTAAACACAATGGTCTTCTCAATGGGTTTTGTAGTTTATCTCTATTTTATGTGGTTAGATTTATGTGGTTAGATTCCACTGTGGGGAAAAAAGTCTGATGTGAAATATTTATTTCCTGTTACTAAATGTCATGAAAACATGAACTAGTTCTCATGAGTTTCTTCAGATAATATACTCTAACAGATTCTGTGCATTCAGTGATACTGGGAAAAGATCTCATATTTTCACGTCCAATCACTCTAGATATGAAGGTGAACCAAGGCAACATTCAGATATACTTGCTTGCCCTGAGAAGGTGCAGCTTTGTCCACAAAGGCTATTTCTTTTTCCATGTTTGCCCAAGAGCAGCCAGGAAATTGGTTGATTGGAAGAGTTTTTTTGTTTTGTTTTTATTTTTGTGTTAGAAGTGACTTGAGAAACTGCAAGTCGCTTCTGGTGTGAGAGAATTGGCCGTCTGCAAGAATATTGCCCAGGGAATGCCAGGATGATTGATGTTTTACCATCTTATGGGAGGCTTCTCTCATGTCCCTGCATGAGAAGCTAGAGCTCAACAGACGGGAGCTTACCCTGCTCCCCAGATTCGAACCACCAACCTGTTGGTCGACCAGTCCTACCAGCACAAGAGTTTAACCTATTGTGCCACACCCATCTACTCTTATGTATTCAGGCAAAGGCACTGCAGCATCTAAAATAGGACTTAAATTGGTGTATCAAAGTTAAAATCAGTGCAGGCCACCAACAGGATACTGATAAGTGAAGTCAAATAAATCTGAAATCTTCATTTTCCTTCTAACCAGGCATGTTAAGAATACTGAGAAACAAATCATCCTGAGGTTGCCAGGGTTGGTGATGCATATAGTTTGAATAGGCCCCATGTAAATTCATGTGTCTAGCTGAATTTCTGGTTTTTCGTTTTTACTTTTCGGCTGTCCAGAGAAATTACTGGATAGCATATAATTTTTTTAAAAAAAATTAAAAATATATGTTATAGTACAAATATAGATAAGGAAAAAGATTATGGTATTATGGGTCAAGAAAGTTGCAAGCATGTACCCCTTTCATTTAGGACTGGTTAAAGTCCACATAACCAATCCTCCTAAATACTCTGTTTCTAACTTATCTTTTCCTACAATTACATCTAATGAATAACTCTCAGGTTTTGGTCCAGATATGCAGACCAACTTACAGGAAATTTGAATTTGCTACAACTGCACATTGTTGTTCAAAGTACTATGTCACGAAGAACCATTCAAGGAAAAAAGAGCTCAACTTACCCTGATTTTGCAATGTGACAGTAGCCCCCACATCGGCTGGGCACAGGCCTCAAGCTCAGCAGCAAAAGCAGCATAATAAGTCTGGGATTCAAACTCAACATGCTCATTAAGTTCCCTCTTGTTTAAATTCATCCCTTAAAAAAGATTGAGATAATATTGTAAAATATTCCACCTAAACATTATTCTACTCTTGCACACCCTTTGTAAACAAGAAAACCTGACATATGCTAGGCAAAGGCATGTGGAGAATATACATCTTGTTTAAGGAACATGTTTCTCAAAGTGTCATACTCTTAGTGTTGTTGGTTTCTGATGGAGAGCAATAGTGGGCACACACAGTCTGGGCAAAAGTATGATAGCTGGGACTCAATGTTGGCTGCGCAACGTGGGTCAGAATTGCACTCACGAGTAAGTGAGAGATGCTGGTACGTGCTATAAACTTAACTATTGCTAACTGCCATTTTTTACGATCCTTCACTAAAAGTTAATTTAATTACATGTGGATGAAGCGTCCTATAAACTTAATGCTGTTTCACACATGTCTTCGCTTCTCTAATTCTGAACCGCACTGTGCAATCAGCATTGGATCCCAGCTATCACACTTTTGCCTACAGTCTGTGAACTACTGCCCACTCACATCTATAAGCAGGTCATACAGAAAAGTTTAGTTGCAAAACACATGGTTACTTCACCAAAAATGCTATACACAAGAATCCACATGTCTTCTGAAGGCAAGAAGCCCAGTAATCTAGCAAAATGAATTATAGAATCACAGAATAATAGAGATGGAAGAGACCACATGGGACATCTAGTCCAATCCCCTCCCATGCAGGAAAAACACAATCAAAGTACCCCCAACAGATGATCATCCGGCCTCTGTTTGATAGTTTCCAAGGAAGGAGCTTCCACTACACTCAGAGGCAGAGAGTTCCACTGTTGAATAGTTCATACAGACAGGAAGTTCTTCCCAATGTTCAGTTGGAATCTCCTTTCCTGTAATTTGAACCCATTGCTCCGAGTCCTAATCTTGTCCTAGTCTCATCTTGATCCGAAAATAGTCTTAGATTTCAATTATTGCTCTAAGTCTCTAATTCTCACATTATTATCATATATATATGATACCAGTGTTTATAGTACTTCAGAATCAAGCCAAACTATCAACAGGCTCCTGTCCTAAATTGCTGTCATCATCATAAGAGGATCATGAATGACTCACAGGGAAACTAAGTACTATCTGATGGTGGTAGCGGCAACACTGGAAAGGGAAGTGGTATTAGTGGCACTATTGTAGAAGCTCACTAAAGCTTAGCACAAGCCCAGATTGACTACAGGTATAGCCCAGTTAACAAATTAGATGCGTTCCTGAGCATGTCTTTAACAGAAATATTGGTAGCTGAAACAGAAATAACACTAAAAGGACAGTAATAGGTTCCTGCAAATAGTGGACAGACACACAAGGTTTGAACTAGGCAGATGTGTGAGGCTTCAAAGGCAACTGAAGTCTAACCCTTTGGAAGCAACTGGTTACAACTAAGTGGAGTTGGAAAGGTTTGAATCAAATTAAAGGGGAAAGAGAATGTCTTCTAAGCTGAGAAGAGGTCACTGCTGACTGAGTAATCAATTCAGTCCTGCTCTATGGGAGCAGCACAGGGTCCAGGAATTCTCCCCATTCCACATGCCATTAGGCTTGCCTAGCTAGTTCTGAATTTGGGGCAAGTATGGTTTTTCTAAATTAAAAAAAAAGCTTCACCACAAGAAGTTTTGTAAACTGAGGTATGGCTGTAGTTGACTTGAAGCCTTTACGGCCAGTGTAGATACTCAAAGGTTTGATGTTATTTGACATTTGAACTCATGCACATCCATCACACTAGGATCTCATCACATTAGACCTTAAAGAGTAAGTAAAGAGTCTTTATACTCTGTGGCTGCCTATTGCAGAACTCTGAGGTTTGTAGTTTAGGGAGGGGCCTTTAAATTGCTCAACCAGAGAAATCCTGGGCTTCATTCAACTACAAAACCCCAGAATTCTGCACAAGGCAGCTACAGGGTTTAAACACTCTTTATCTAATGTTTAAGCTCTAGTGTGATAGTGCTAAGTCATGAAGCATTAATGGGCAACCTGGGGTGTGCAGATACTTCAGATGACAATTCATATAAACACAAGACAGCATGTCTAATGGTTCAGGATTATGAGAGTTGCAGTTTAAAAAATCCTGAATATCTCACTGTGGACCTAGCCCATGATGTTTCTGGCTCAGATGGTAGTATTTCAGATTTTGCAGTACTAGAACTGCTGATATGTAACACCAATGAGTTCTAAGTGACCTCATTTAAATCGCCTCTCCTTGTACAATGGTAAACCTAAAAACACACTATTCTTTAAATACCATGTTCAAAGTTAGATCACAAGTTAAACTCTTTGTCATGAACAACAGTTTTTGATTTGAAGAAAGATTTGTGTTTTTAAACAGAAGATTGTACCTGTTTTGAAATAGGATAGTTTCCCCCCCAAATCCACCTCCCAAAAAGACAAGTTCCAATTAAACCTTGAGCCTCATACTGGTAGAAAAGTGAGATATAAATGAATAAAATAAATTAAAGAGGAAGTAGATTTGGCAGTAAATTATAATACTTCCAGATAAATTTAGATGAACTTAAGGCCACACGGTCAATATTAAGTCACCAGCAAACATTCTTTTAATTTTTCATCAAATTTTCACCACACAGTCAAAGTTAGTTCAGGTTGAATTAAAGAAAGCATCGCATACCTTGAAAAAATGACACAAAGTTCATCCACGTTACTAATAGCCTGTGATCCTCCAAGAATTTCTTAGCCACACTCTGGTGTGAAAGGATATTGATGAAATCACTTACAAGAGGCCAATAAGTATTATTCTTCAGTAATGCTTCCCCACAGTTCACTACCACATGTAAACTGTTTTCCTCATCTAAAAGAAAATTAATTTTTAAGGATACCAAATGTACATTTTATAAAAAAAACATTCTTGTATAGTAAACGGAATTCCTCTATATATAATTCACTTTCACTGATTTATTGTATCTATAGCCTGCCAAGTTTGTTTTCAGTAAAGTTAGAGCAGGTGTTGCACTTGTAAGTCATAGGATTACAGTACATGAAAAAAAAACTTTTATGTAAAAAAAATCTTAAAGGCAAGATCTGACTTCAACGCACCTTGGAGTTCACTTTTAATAAGGCAACTCTCCATCATATACAGCAAGACTGTAACCATAATATCAAGCAGTTGGCATTCTTCTGTCACTTGCCGTGCTAGCTCCTCATTGCTGAACAGCTGGACACTAATGTGTACAATTCTGTTTGACATGGTGTCCGATTCATGGCTTTTCTTCAGTGTTTTCATAATAAAAGCATAATGCTGCACAAACGTTTTAGTGAAAGCAATCTGCAAGGTAGAAAACAAATGTTAGCAGAACAACTTGCTTCTTTCATACAAATCTCAGTATTCTTTCACTCACGACTCAATGCTTGAAGCTCCCCAGAGAGTTCACATAAAAACAAATAAAACCATAAATACATAAATAATGTAACAGAAGAAAAAATAGTAAGACTTCAAAAGCCAAGGAAAACCAAAAGCTCTTTACCTTGTGCAATCAAAACATAGGCATCTAAAGGTGAATCTGTACTATAAAAGTAATGCAGTTTGACAACATTTTAAGTGCCATCCATGGCTCAGTTATGGAATCATGGGAGTTGTAGTTTGGTGAAGCACAAGCACTATTTGGCAGAGAAGACTTAAGACCTTCTAAAACTTCCTATCCTATGCTTCCATAGCACTGAGCCATGGCAGTTAACGTGGTGTTAAACTGCATTAATTCTACAATGTAGATGCACCCTAGGAAATTCATTTCTTGATCAGAACTACTGCTCTCTTCATTTGGCACCCAACTTGCTTCAATGCCACCAAGGAGAGGGGCCTGGGTCAGTATATTTGGGAAGTCCTCCAAGCAACATAGCCCCAAACTATTTAAGGTCTGGATCAAATCCAAGGAGCAGCGTGAGCTCCTGCTGTTAGCCCCAGCCTCTGAATTTGAAAACATGCAAATGTGAGTAGATCAATAGGTACCACTCCGGTGGGAAGGTAACGGCACTCCATGCAGTTATGCCAGCCACATGACCTTGGAGGTCATGTCTATGGATATTCCCTCTGCATAGTATCAGATTAGATGTCTACTAGTAAATACCCACAAACTAGTACGAATATGGTGTTTGTGTCAACCAGAGAAGAAATTCATATAGTATTTCTCACTGTAATTTGTTAAATCCCCTGCCTCAGGTAGCCAAGCAAATGGAGTGGGGAATTTCAATGAAAAGGGCCATCAACATATCCCAGGGACTACACTGAATGGAGCATATTGGCAACATCCCAAACCACATATCTAGATGACTTCCCCTAACAGTTTCATATTAAACAGTACAGAAAACAAAACTGCAAGTCAATGTGAACCCTGAAGAGCCACTAGCTATGTTTATTTACAGAAAGCACAGTGGTAATTTTTAAATAAATGTATCTGCTCCTTCTAATTTAACTCCAATTTATTATCCAATTTATTATCTTTCACAATATTTTTACATTTTTTTTTACTAGAAACACTGCTAGGGGAAGGAATGCTGAATTTGGACTTTTTCCATAATAGTATTTTTATGTGCTTGCAAAATACTTTAAAATTGCAATGTGGTAGTACTATCTTGATAATGTTTATGCTGGCATCGAATTGTGCCTTTTGTAAGCCGCCCTGAGTCCCCCCTCGGGGGTTGAGAAGGGCGGGGTAGAAATGCGCGAAATAAATAAATAAAATAAAAGAGACAAGCAAAAACACATACATACCTTATAATCTTGATCTGGAAGCATGTTGAGTAAGAAAGTTACCATTTTCTGTGGAAATTCATATTTTATTGTCCAAAATAATAATTCTTCTAGAAAACATTTATGCTTCAAAACATCCATGATGGACTGATCTAAATAGATAAACAAAAAATTACAACTGGAAGGAGACTGAGGCAAAGACAAAGCATCAGAGAATGCAGTTACACCAACAATAATATTTTAACATTGTTCATTAACATTTCTTGGCGACTCAATAGAATACTACACACAATGCAAAATCCAAGGATCCAGAGCAGGGATGACTAGCAGGTGACCCTGCTATAGTTATTGGGCTACAACTCCCATCATTTTTAGCAGACAGCTAATGTTGAGGAGCAATGGAAACTGCATCCAATGAATCTATGTTTCCCATCGTATCTAAAGTTTATTGCTGAATTTTTGTAGGTGTGATGATAAAAACTTAACTGGATCAACTTAATGTACTGAAAATACAAGGAAGGAGACTTTCAATACAAATTTTATATAAGCTTAGATTTTACGCAGTAACTGGAAATCCTGTTTTATTCACAGCAGTTTTTTTATCATGTAAAAATACATCGAATTGTACCCAAAGTTTCCATATCGCTCTAATGCTGCTGATATCATCAACTGTGATCAAACTTCTAGCAACTTTCCTCATTCCACATGTTTTATTACATGGAGAAGTTCCTAAATTTTGTTCCCTTGATATTTGGGGTTTCAGCTCCCAGAAGTCCTGAATGTTGGTCAAGCTGGCAAGGGCTGAAGTCTGAAACACCTGGAGGACTAAAGTTTGGGAACCATTGCCATAGAGCATGTATACAAGCAGTCCCCAAATTATGAACAAGATATGTTTAGTAGGTTTGTTCTTAAGTTGAATTTGTATGTAAGTCGGAACAAGTACATTTTTAAAGTGTAACTTCAGATACACACGCCCACACACACATGCATAATTTCAATAGGATAGGAAAGGGTTCACATGTCTGTGGTGTTTGTTTTGCTGTCTCTGCCCCCATTCAGAAGATTTCACCTCACTTTCTGTCTCTGTTATAATTGGATTTTGAAAAAATCGGCTTGTTGTGGAAACAAAGTTTTGTGATAAAACTTCAGTGGAAACACCTTTTCCCCATGATAACTCTTTCAGGAGTGAATTTCCATTCTGAAGGGGAGATTTCTCACATTTCCTATTGTCTCACCCCTGTTCCTAACTATGAGTCATTTTTAAGTCACATGTTTGAAACCCGGTAACTGCCTGTATTAAAGATATTCCTTAACTGCTGTTGTTTGTTGGAACTCAAAGTTATCAGATCTTAGTCTCCCTAAAATAAAACCCTCTCCTCTGCCCAACTTTCATTCAATAATCCTTTTGCTTAAGTAACAAAGGGACAATAATTAATCACTAACTTATTATTATTATTTTATTTATTTATGCCCCACTTTATCTGCTCAAAACGGCTTGACATATAAACATCAGCACAGAATTTAAAATATACAAATATATAAAAATTAAAACAGAATTAAACACAAACAGCAGTAATAATTTAGTTTAAATCCATCAACATTTATTCAAAGTTAAAAACCACAACATCCTCTGACTAGATCTTAAACACCCTCATCTTTAAATAACTGTTTGAATACAAAGGTTTTAGCCTGCCACCAGAAGGACAGTAGGGAGGGGGCCGTTCTGGCTTCCTTGGGCAGGGAGTTCCAGAGTCAAGGGGCAGCCACTGAGAAGGTCTGCTCTCTTGTTTTCAGCAACTCAGCTTGGGATGGAGGTGGGACAGAGAGAAGGGCCTCTTCTGAAGATCTCAGGGCCCGGGCTGGTTCGTACAAGGATATGTGGTCAGCCAAATAGCCTGGACCTGAACCATCTAGGGCTTGAAAGGTTATAACCAGCACTTTGAATTGTGCCTGTTAACATACTGGCAGCCAGTGGAGCTGCTACAAGGGGACTGTCCGCTCCCTGCAGTCAACCTCAGTGAGCAACCTGGATGCAGCTCTTTGGAGCAGCTGAAGTCTCCGAGCACTCTTCAGAAGCAGTCCCATGTAGAGTGTGTTACAGCAATCCAGATGGGATATAACTAAGGCATGTACCACCATGGCCATATCTGGCTTCTCAAGGAACGGGTGAAGTTGGTGCACCTGTGACTTCATGGAAAGTGTAACCCCATCCAGCACAGGCTGGATCCCTATTCCCTGGTCTGCCTTCTGACTGAAGAGGCATATCTTTGTCTTGTCTGGATTAAGTTTCAATTAACAACGACAGGCACTAGTTTAGGGTCAGGACAGCTTTCTTGGCATTAGGTGGAAGTAGTAGAGTTGGGTGTCACTCACATATAGGTGGCACCATACTCCAAAACTCCGGATGACCTCTTCCAGCAGTTTCATGTGTATGTTAAACAGCATAGGGGACAAAATGGAACCCTGAGGAATCCCACAGGTCAATGGCCAGGGGTTCAAACAGGAGTCCCCAGCACCAACTTCTAGGTACAGTGCCTCCCAGTCTCATAACAGTGAGGCGACCCAGGAGAATACCATGGTCAAAGATATTGAAAGCTGCTGAGAGATCCAGAAGAACCAACAGGGACGCACTGCCCCTGTCTAGCTCTCTGTATAAGTCATCCACCAAGGCAACCAAAGCTGTCTCTTTATACATTCAAGCAATTTTATTTAATATTCATTCAAGTTTCATTTCACATCTCAGATGCATACTGTTATATTGCATACTCCTATCAATGATTAAAAACTACAAGTAACCATAAGATACAAAACACAAGAAACAAAACACCACAATGCTTTGCCATGTACCTTTGGTGCTGCTGCTTAGCTTTACCCTCTTGCGCTTTCCTACACCTTGGCTACCATCCTGATCCTCCTGTGATTTTGAGAACAAAGATAAAACATCTTAATGGCAGATGCTATGTAAGTATGTTTTTTAAAAATAAAGTAAGACCAGTGTCATTTATTTAATGAGAGACGAAATCTCTTTAATATGTATTATGTATTGAACAGATAATGTGATATTGCTGGGGAAAATTCAATTTTTGATGTGTGTTTTTTTCAATCAAAGTAAGTCATAAACTGTAATATGGTCCTGGGGCAGTAATTTATTACAGAAAAGATAATAAAACCTTAAGATTTTATGTTTTCTTTTAACTATTAAAAGTAAAAATGTCGTATATGTTCAAAAGTAGATTATTCTTTGCTACAGTAACCTCCTTTCCATGTGTGCATGTGTATGTGCGTATCTGTATGAAAACATGTAAGTACAATCAAGAGTGTCTGAAACTAGAGGATAACATTAAAAAGTGATTTTAGCCCACGGTGATTGATCACTTACATATGCAGGAAGTGCTTTAGTAAAACCTTTCTCATCTAACAATTAAGAGCTGTCTTGAAACTGCAATAATTTCCTTCCTCTTCTTCCCCTACACTGCTGTTTTCATTCTTGTATTAAACAGACAGTTTAATACAAGACAAGAGGATATCAGAAAGAAGCTTATCCAATAACTATTCAACCCACGTTACCACATGCTTGACTAAAAATATGAAATGTCTCCAAAAGAAAGAGCCTTTACTGTTTTCCATTATAATCACTTTTTCTCTTTCTCTCTTTTAAGATATTTCTCAATCATTCAGATAGAAAGTAAATTAGACAGCAGTTTATACTGAAATCCTGAATTATCTGAAAATGCCCCCACTGAACTCAACAGAACGTACTTGTAAGTAAATGTGCTTAGAACGGTGTTAGAAGTAAATATATGTTACTCTTCTAAGCAATCCTGAAGATACAGTGTGGTATAATGGTTTGAATGTTGGATGAGAAATCTGAGAGATAAATATTCAAGTCCCTGTTCAGTTGTGGAAACCTATTGGGTGACCTTAGGCATGTCACATTCAGGCTTAGAGGCAGGCAATGCAAACCTCTTTTGAAGAAATCGTGCCAAGAAAACCTATTACAGAGTTTGTATCAGCTGGAATCAACTTGAAACTGCATAACAATAAAATAAATATTCTTAACAATGGAAACTACAGGAAACTCCCCCTTTGATTGCCCTTACTATTTTAACCAAGCAAGGAAGACAGAAAGGTACACTGAACCCTTTCAATATAACACTAGTTAAAACCTGCTCAGAGCAAATGAAGATGACATGGTAATGAGGTATTTTCAGAAGTTGCTATTTACTCCACAATTCCCAGAATTGCTAAAATTATTTCACTGAAAGTAGCTCAGTGAAAGTTGTACTAACAATAATTCTCCAGCTAGAAGACCAAAAGAGCAAATATATAATCCTGAAAAAAGTAGTTTCAACATAATAGATCATATCAGTGAAACAAACACCCTCCTTGTTAGCGGAGACCAACAAGACAGGGGTAATTGTTTAGTTATTTTTGTTTAATTCAGTTGTTTTTACTTAACATTGCACTATATTTTGTTTCTAAACAAGTCTCACCTCATCAGAAGAGTCACCTTGCCCTGAAGAAGGTGTAGCACCTGCAAAATAAACAATTAAAATATTCATTATAGTTTACATTTAGTAGGACACACTGTTAAATGAGTTTTAGTTTGAAAAACAAAATCCACATATCTTCATTCATGAAAGTGGCATACAATACATATAAAATATTCTAATACAGAACTCTGAAGATGGCCATCACAACTGCTTCATTCTTACTTATCTGGTAAAAACTCAGAATACCAAGATTTAAATCTATAATAATTATACTAATGTTGCAATATTATGAAACCAAAACTGGGCCAATATTCTTATCATAAAGTCCATTTTACAACAAGACAAAACTGATGATCATAAATATATAATCCTCCCATGGGTCAAACAAATACATTACAAACTTTTCCCCACTGCTACCTTGAAAGTCAGATACCATTGCTGATATCCTGCAAATCACCTCGAGATCTAACAATAAATGCAACTCTTAAGTGCTTAGAAGAATGCACAAATGCAAGTTCTTGCAAAAATGACATTTGAATAATAATAATAATAATAATAATAATAATAATAATAATAATAATAATAATTTGCCTTTTCCTGCTGAAGCACTACCTTATCTACTCGCATTTGCATGTTTTCCAATTGCTAGGTTGGCAAGAGTTGGAGCTGATGGATGGGACCTCCCCCCGTCTCGTAGATACAAACTGATAACTTTCAGGTCAGCAGTTCAGCAGCACAAGGGTTGAACTCCTTGCGCCACCACATATCCGAGTCATAATTTGAATCATAATGTGGCCATTCAAATTGCTACATCTCTTAATAAATATAATGGGACCTAGCATTTCCACAGTAATTCAACTTTGTTATGAAAAAAAATGAATATTCATCAGTTTTGGAAAATGAGTAACACCTCAAAAATATTTCTGTGCCCAGTAAAACATAGTAAATTCCAGCAAAAAAAGCTATATATTGTTTAATAAAAGATTAAAAGTAATGTATAATTAGGCAACCCTATCATATATTATTATTTGTGTTTCATTTGATATTTTACCATACTGTAAGTTGCCTTGCACTCCACTTGTGAGAGAAAAATGGAATACGAATGAGAGAGAAAGAGAAAGGGAGAGAGGAAGCCACTTTTCTTCCAGTTAGCCCTCCATATTTATGGATTTAACTTTAGTGGATTTGATTATTAGCAGATTTGATTAACATGTTTTCTCTTCTGATGTGAGTTAACCACAGAATCGCCTTGGCTAATCTAGAGATTCCCAGAGAGATGCTCTCTCAGGTAAAGTAATTTTTTAAATTTGCATTTTTTAAAACTTTTGCAGACGTTCTCTAATCTCTACCCGTAACCCTCACAAAAGGGGGGGAGGTGAAATGAAATGTTTGGCTCCATTCAGTCCAAATGATACCAGGAAATACATGAATTCTTCATTTTAAAAGCATTATTCAGACCTTGAACTACTGAAGAGCTAGCTGCAGCTCCTGGTTCCTGCACTCCACTTCCAAGCTTATCTTCAGGAAATGTCAGTCCAGAACCTTTCAGAGCTACAAGATACTTTTCATGGCTCTTTTTCGCACATGCATTTTCGCCACTACCTGAAAGAGATTTCAAAGATTAGCAATCAACCCTTGCTGCTGCACAAAACATTTATACAATTCTGGCTACAACAATAAATACATATAATAAATTTACTGTGATTCATCCAATGCATGGGAATCAGGTGCTGTTCTTTGACTTGTTTTCAATAGGCAAATATTATAGTCTTAAAGTATTCAAAAGCAATATTGTTATTACAAATATCTGATTTCTCTTGATGTAACTCTTGTGTGACTACTGTGATTATATTGTAATTACTAATTGTAGTCCCCCTCTTCCCTCATCTATATTACCTTGTGATTTTGTTAAAGCATGTTAATTCTCAAAGGCTGAGATGTTCCTCAAACCCTTGAAACCATGAGAAGAATACTAGCAAGGCTTTGTCTTCTTCACTTGTAGCAACTTTCCCTGCTATTTTGTGAAAGGGTTCATTATTTTATTTAGTTTTTGTCTGACTCCTGTCTTCTGCAGTTATTCTACTAAGGCTAGAATGCATTTGGAGACTTGGGAAATTGGCAATAGGGTAAGGACAGAAGAAGCAGCATTTAATCTAATCTAATTCTAATCAGGCATTCAAAATACTGAAGCTTTAATGGAGAGGTTGTGGGATACACATTTTGATATATCTTCAGTAATGTTTGAATTGTCAAATCTGCAACAACAAAAATGTTTTCTTGCCATGTAGTTTGAATAAATTTCTCATGAGCTATTTCATGCAGACTTTTCATGAGCAGTAATTGCCATTATTGAAGGAGATAAGGCACAGGAGTAGTCACTATCTTTATACCATCTATCTATTTATCATGCCTTTCAATGTCAGATGCAAGGTGGCTTACGCTAGTGTTGGTTAAAATAAAACAGAATTAACTTATGTAAACTACAAAAGTAAAAAAAAAAGCAGCTGAACACAAAATTTTGAAGTTTTAAATGATCTAAACTGTGAGGGTGGTGGGAATGAGTTGTCCCCTTGGCCTTTTAAAGTTGATTTCAGAAACTCACTCACTGAATCATGTTTCTAACAGGAGAAAAAACAGAAGAGATGCTCCATTTCTCTTTGAAGAGAAAAAGAAATAAAAGGCAGAGCTGAGGGTACAATTTAGCCCACAGTACGGTACTGCTGCTCCCCTTATAGAAACAAGCAAGAAGGTGGGCTAATTTTGAAAGCATGTTAGAAAAATGCATGCTTGAGACTGCTTCAGACAAAATAAAACTCCAACTCACCAGAACTAAGGTCTTTGTAGAACTGCTGATTTGTTAGAACCTGAGTAAGGACTGAACGCATTGCTCCCCCCATTTTTGTCAGATCTTCCAAAAATGAGATGTGGGGTTCCAACATCTGAAGAACTTTGAGAAGGTCTTTTTCAGAGGGCAGATCAAGAACTGGAGGAAAAAACCAAACAGATTGCAAAGGATGAGTCAAATAGATCTGATGATTTTGCAACATTACCATTGACTATTATGTTTTTTAAGAATACAAGATCATTCCTATAATAAAAACCTGAGAAGGTATGCTTGTCCAATACGAAGAGTGGGCACATCTTTCCAGATTAGGGGCAGGCAAAGTGTGCTCTACATGGACTTGCACAATACTGATCACAAGAATACCTCACTTAACAAAGCCTCCCACAAAGAAGTTCTTTTTCACAAATTCTTTTTACAAAAATCTAAACTCAATTATGTATGAATGACAAACAAATAATTGATAAAATACACAACTGTCATTAAAATTTGTGATCGAGGATGAACAATCATAGAGTTGGACGAGACCACAAGGAGCATCCAGTTCAACCTCCTGCTATACAGAAATACACATTCATAGCACTCCTGACAAACAGCAGACTTATGAAAAAACTAAAAATATTGAGTTTAAATACATAGTTTTATTCACAACACTTTAGAGTTCACTATTCAATTAAAAGCTGAACCTTCTTTTTCTTTCAGGTTTGATGGGCAACCAATCAGAGAGGAGAAATGAAAGAATGCTTCAAATATTGATGTTTTAATCATTGATGTTTTAACGATTTATTTTTTAAATTATAATTGTTTATTTTATGGACAAATATGTGTATGGCATCAAATTGCTGCATGTTGTAAGGCCACCTTGAGTCTTCTTCAAGATAAGGGTGGGGTACAAATGTGATAAATAAATAATTTTTAACAGCTGCAAAAGTATTACATGGTCAGAAATGGAAAAACGATCATTGACTTATAATGAGGAGTGACAATTGAAAGTGATTGTTTATCAATTTCCATTAAATCAATAGATTTTGGTTAAAGAAAAAGCATTAACTATGATTTTGAAATATTAAAATCCTTGATTAATGTTTTGAAATAAAAAGATGGTGGCTTGATGAGTTCCGGTTTTGTTAATTTATATGATTAAATGTACAGATGAAGTGTGACTTCTAACATAGATAGAGAGAAACTGAATCCTAAGAGTAAAATTATGTCAAGATAGTTAGAAGCCATCTATTTTTTCCCTTTTTGTTAGTTACAGTATTTATTATATATTCAAGTGATCTAGAAATTTGTTGTCCGTGTATTTTCTCCTTTGGTTATTGTTGTAATTTATTGTTTTAATGATGGATGTAACTCATTTTTAATCTATGTGCAATTTTATTCAGTAAAAATGATTTGAAATATGAACTGCAAACAGATTATTGATAACGTGGAGGACCTCCAACATATTCATGGGGATAGGAAGAATATTTTATCATGTTTTTCACCAGTCCACTTTAGGAGTAGGAGAAACCTCTTTGTTCTATATAAAATGAACCAAAAGTCACAAAAAGGGACAAAATTATTCTGTGCTTCATTCCCCACCCCCAAAATCAATTAGCAGAATAGCAGTCTCGGGGAGCAGATGCTACCCCTTAACCTTTGATAGCACTTTTATCATTTTCTCCTGGTATTCAATGTAGGTTTGTAGTTGGTTTCATAAACTTATCAAAATATTAAATTATATTCAAACATCATCTGCATTTGAATTGCAATTCATCAATTGGTTGGAATGGTTCTTTCCCAGAAAACCAGAGATCTTCTACACTTAGTTCACAAAACTAGCAAACAAAATTTATTTGTTGGGATAGTGATCTTTCTTCAGAAATATTGACATTATTCATACCTGGTTCATTGTAACCATCCCTTAAGTACTGGATAAGATAGAAGATGAACTGTGGAAGAACTAGTTCTGACATTATCAGCAGATCTTTTGGAACAGATGGAACTTCTGAGCTTGATTTTATCCTGTGCCTTTTGCAAAATCTGGAAACAAAATTAGATAGTTTAAAAAAAGACTGGCAGACACCTAACAGAACAGAAAGGTTTCATTTTTTTCTACACTCCATCATCCAGATGAATTATACAAGACAGATGGTCACAGTGATTCTTAGCAAACGGGATAAGGGGTTTGAGATTCTGGGTCAGGAGACGAACTGCATGTGAATTAATGAGATGTCTCCTGTCCAACCACTGCCTAAACCTCATCTTTTCTTTGTTGCAGCCCCCACAACAGGGTTATTGCTTGGACAGTGCAGACAGAGGAGGGAGTAGAAGAGGGGTGAAGCTATGCTACTAGGTGAGCACAAAGAAACAAGTGCATTCAAGACTTCCCACTGGTCCTTCTGAGTTCCCTCCAGATGATGCCAATGCCATGAATCCAACTGTAGTGAAATAGGAGACATTTCTCTAGCATTCACATATGTTCCACTAGCCAGGAAACTGTAGTTTTTGGTAGAGGAAGTGGAAGAGAAAAGAAGTGGTATGGATGGGTAAAAGATTTTGGTAACCAAGAAGCCAGTACAGAATCCTAATCTCTACAATGACCAAAGAAGTTAATTACAATGCAAACGGCACTACCACCACCACTGTAACTCACTATCAGGATGACAGAAAAAATCTCACTCCCAATGAATTTCTCCCCATTTGCTTTCATTTAAGGACCTAAAACTTACAGAAAACTATTTTTAGGACAACCTATTGTATGATTAGTACTATTTTTATCCATTGCATGGCTAAGACTACGGCAGAAATGTCACAAAGATCTCAGCTGTCAAATTAGTTCCTTGCCCACACAATGCAGGCAAGCAGTTCTTCTTCAGAAGAATCAAATTCTGAGAACTGTTTCCCCTTCTTTTTTAATGCGTAAACCTGTACAAGATTGAAACTTAACGACTTTACGAATTAGTTTAATTTTTTTTTCATAATTTGAATCATCATTCAAGTGTGGAACATGTTCATTAACAACAGCTTTATGCAAGCTGAATATCAAGAGACTTTGTTTTGAAATAATGAAGAAAATATTTCAAGGATTTGAATGAAAATTAGCCTTCATGTCACATCTTTCAAGAAACCTGAACATTATTCTGATTCACTGCCCTGCACTTTACATATTCAAATGTAAAGGTGTCTTGGTGATTGTAGGTTTGCCTTCATGCCATACAGTAAATATAAGAGATGCAATCATATTCCCCACACACAGAAGTGAACTCGCAAAAGTGTTCCTACTGTAGAGGAGGAGGCAATTTTCACCAATTCCTCCTTTCCCTTACACCCTGCAGCTTGAACATCCAGATCTGCAGGGAGCACGGGAACAGGAAGGAACACATTTAAAAAGAGCCTACAGTGGATCTTGGTTCCTTTTGAAAACAGCAGGAACTCTTCTCCCTGTAGAAGGATAGATCTGGCTCCAGCCCAATAACTGTTCATATGCATAATAACATTTAATCTAACTTTATGATATGACAAACAAACTAAAAGATATACAAATCCACCTGCAACGCGCAGCCATACTAAATAGCAAAAGCACTATACCTATGACAAGTGGCTATAAAAGTATACTAAAATTTGGGAAATCTTAATTGCACAGAATGGAAAAGCAAATATATGCAAATTAGTTTTATCTTTGTAATTCATACAGAATACTAGGTTCTGTGTAGTGTAGCCCATGTTTTCCCATACAACAATTATATCAAAGTAGCAGCCCTGTGTTATTTTTATTTACTTGGAAGTAAGTCCATTGAAATCAAGTAAGCGTACACAAGTTTTCAGTTGTTTTTATATATAAATGATAGACTGAATAGGAAGTTGATTTTTTACCCTCTTTAGATGAAAATAGATAAAGAGCTCTGCCACAAGGCTGGAACTGCTGCGAAACACTGTCAAACTTCCATTCACAGTCATGAATGCTAGAAACTAATTGTTTTTAAGTAAATATATTGTCTTGATGCTGAATTATACGTGCAAATCAAACTGAATACAGTATAACAACTCCATCTGTATCTTGGATAAGACTACCTGTAGATATCTAAAACCAAGAAAAATAGCAAACCCTATATTTTGACTATACAAAGCATACCACAGAATCACACAGTAGGTTCTAGAGAGGTCCACAAACACTTTGAGGGTGGAGGGATAGTTTTTGGAATGTGGATAAGTGCAACCATATAGATAAGGGGGTCATACTGTATTTGCATGGATTCATAGCATAAATAAAACTAAACGGTAAGTTATTAAATACAAATCCATCTGCAAGATTTTCTCATGGAAACATTCGACGAGCTTTTCTATGTATTGCATGCCAGTTATGGAATTCTTCTCACCAAACCAAAACAGTTACATTAGCCACATCCCCACTGGTTTTATGTGGACATTAAAATAATGTTTATATTGCCTTTTGCAGTAATGAAACATTACACAGAAGTTTCATCATCCTCACTATCTTTGGTGTTTTATACTTCTAAACCATTATCTAGACTTGTTCTGAATCTAGTCCGCTGTTGTCATCATCCCCCCTTACTTTTTAGGTGAGCTTTGAAAAGGTATTAGACACAGTGGTTCCCAACTGTTTGGTGGAAAGGTATTAAGAGAATATCTTTCCATCAAATAATGCAAAGCTATCCCATAGGTTTTATAAAAGAAGTTAACACAAAAGCCACGCCACCCCCAATATTTGTCATAGCTGATTGATGCACTTGCCACATAACCATCTGTACTGACTTCCTACAGTGCGAGTACAAACTATGGCTGGTTCTTTCAGTACTGTACCTGTGAAAATACTTTTATCAGATCCTGACATGGGGACATTTCTAGTTGTAAAAACTAAAATAGATGTAGAGCTACAATTTCAAGACAAATGAAAGAAAAAGTTTGGGTGCATGACTGTTTTATTTATTTAATATGCTGCCAAAAAGAAATAGGCATCAGAAGTCATTTCCGATTTCATTTCTGCCTGACCTGCAGTCACTTTTTTCATTTTGGGGTGGGTTGGAGTGTTTCTGCTATGCGGCATTTCTGGAGACTTCCAGGATTTTGTGTGTGTGTGTGTCAGGAGAGACTTGAAAAACTGCAAGTCATTTCTGGGTATGAAAGAATTTGCCTTGATTTACTAATTTGGATTATCTTCATCCTCCAAAGCCCATGAATACTTCATGAAACCCATGGAACATACATATATAAGAAGCAAAGCCGAAGCTATTCTTGACAGTCAATTGAGAGAGAAATTGCTCTCTACATTTCAAGCAATTTATTTTCGGGACCAGAATCTATATAAATCTGGTATCGGAGATAACTGTAGAAACATGAAATGGTCTGGTACAGAATTTGTTGTTGTTAATTGCAGTCAAATCAGTTAGGGCAACCCACGGTACAGGGTGACAAAGATAAGGACAAACAGACTGAGACATAGCTTTTCTCCGAGAGCTCTAACTATATTGAACTCCATGGTTTCAGACTGATGTGGCACTGAGGGCTGTGTGGTGGTGGTTGGAGTGTGGATGGATGGGTGTGTTGTTTTTGTGATGTGTGCTAGGGAATGCATTTAATTTAGTTGTACAATGTCAATAAAGTTATTATGTTCTATTCTATGAGCAGGTCTGCTTGGGCTTTGCAGATTAAAGGTAGAAACATTGTATTCGATTGTGTCCTCAGTTGTAAAATTTAAGAAGCTATTATATAAACTTTCTCATAAGTGACTTTCTCATAAATAACTATATTGATAGCAACATAATCTAGATATAACCACATTAAACATGCTATTAAACTTTTTATTAAAATTGTATAAATGATACATAAAGTCTTGCTATTTATAGTAACTAATTGCACAAATTCTCAAATATGAATATTCAGAGTACCTATAAACAGGTACTTCCTTTCCTCTTGATAAAAATAAATTGTTCTAGCTTGCCCAGTAAGCCTCAGAAATCACTTCGATCTATGAATCATGACATTTTTTGTTTATTTGTGTGTGGTACTTTATGCTTTCTTTGAAGAGGGAGGAACCTGAGTCAAGGTAGAAAGAACCAACGTGGGAAAGAAAAAGAGAACACAGAATGGTGCGCTGGAAATGTCCTTGTATTATCACTTAACTTCGCAAGCTTTCATGGACACAGGTTGTAAAAGAAACAAAGAAATCTCCTCTAAATATAAAAGAGAAGCATCTAAACATACACAAGTGGGCCAAACAAATTAAAAGCTTTGGTGTAAAAATGAAACCATATCTATAATACTATTTTTGTAAATCAATATGTTTACTGGAAGATTTGTGCTACTGTTTAGGAAAACTGTTATAAAGTATGAACTAAAATCATTCCAATTACTGTCAGTTAAATCTATTCAGTAAGTCCTTCTGTATTGTTTCAGAATTATGTATTCAATTATAAAAAAAATCTATATAAAGAGGATACATTAGAAAACCGTAGCAGGAGTAAAATATATTGTGACTAACAAAATGAAAACCACAGATAATTATGTGAATTTAAAAAAAAAGGAAGATAAAATCAACATATACATTCACACAACCAGTTTCAGATTAACTGAACCAAGGTGTATGCCTAGTTTTATTTTGTGTTTATTACAACAACCACAATTTTAAAAAGAAAGAAACAGAAATGTTGCCTAAATGTATATAAGAAACATCTCTCCATTTTTAGGTATGAACTTGAAAAAAAAATCAATTTCTGTTTTGGACTAAAGCTACTTTCCAACACTACATCAAATAAATGTCAAGTAATCATTGAAATAATGATTAACTCTACAATGAAATGTAATTAGAGAAGAAAACATTGAACAGTTTAGCTTGACAAGATAGCATGTACATGTACCAACACTTAAAGAGCAGGGATGAATTCAAAACAAGTAACTGGAACTGTGGGGACAACAGGAAAAAGTTCAAGAGGCAGGACACTATCGATGTTTTTAAACTCCAGAATGCACAATATATATTGCAGTCTCCAGGCAACATTACCAGGTAGGATAGTGCTTGAACT